TGTAAATGTTGATTTTATCGACATTTCAGTTCACTTCGTTTTTTCCCGTGAAAAATAAACTATCGTCTTGTGTAATTATTAAGATTTATTTAATTAGTTATTGATATGGCAAGTGAAAAAAATATTTTTGGTCAAACAAATGAAACAAACTTACATAAGGTCATACGCAGAGTTGAAGAAATATGGAATCGTCGTTTCATGCATTCCAATTATGTTTTAAATAATCCAAATAAACGACAAATATCAAAAAATTCAACTAAAGATGGAAGAATTATCTGTAAACACTATTAAGATTAATAATTAAACTAATTATTTCGAATAGGGAAAAAGATTATTTAACATAAAATATAAGAAAAATTAATAATAAATTCTCTTATTCATATATAACAATAATTCAGTCGCTTTACTTTAATTTAACTATTTTAATATTAAAAATTTTTTTTGAAATTGATTATTTAATTAATAATTATTAAAACTATATTCAATTTGCAGCAATTATTAACAAAACTATTTATCCTATAACAAATTCTATTATTCCAAAAAAACGCACGTATCGAAAAACAAATAAAAATAATAAAATGATTTCAGAAAAATTGGTAACTATAATTATATTAATATATATTAACAAATCTATAAATAATAATTTTGTAAAATTGTAATGTATTCGATTTAGCTATGTAATTCGGGTTTGTCTGATTCAAAAATATAAAAAAAACTATCAACCCCCTTAATATGATTACGATAACANAAAACTATCAACCCCCTTAATATGATTACGATAACATAATGTTTAATATTATTCAGGACTGCTATTTTTTCAATAAGATTTTTATGGGAAATTCAATTTTTATCGAAGATAATAATATAATATTAAATATAGTTTATTTGTTTATTTAAATATCTCTTTGGTTGCATAGAAATTGATACAGCGAGGAGAATTCAAAACACTTATTAAGAATGAAAAATCTGGAAAATATAAAAATAAAATTTTAAATTAAACAGAAAAAAAAAAAAACGGTAGCACAGTGGGGTCGAGGCACAGTGTGGACGAGGCATAGATGGGACAAGTATAGATGATATCTGACAGTGATTAAAATCACTATCATAAGAAACGCTTCGATGCAAATCTGTAGATAGTGTTTCATTTAGAGAAATTGGTGGATTATTCCAAAAGCAACATCAACTCTTATTTCTTTAATTATATCCTGATTAGTAGTTCTTTGATTTTAAAATATAATATATGAATAAATACTAATTATAGTTTTTAAATTCAGTATGAAATTGTGAGGCCAGCTATGATGTATGGTTCATAGTGTTGGGCGGTTGATAAGAAAGTAGAGCAGAGAATAAGTGTAGCAGAGATGATAATGCTTAGTCGGATGAGTGGAGTGACTAGAGAAGATAGGATAAGGAACGAGCATATAAGAGGAAGTAAAGGTGTTTCAATTTTTGAGGGTAATATCTTCAACTAGATACGAATTGTAGACATTTGACGTATCGTTGAAAAAAGTAGGTCAAGTTAGAGCAGAGAAAATAAATGATAGTCACAAAAAAATATCTTTTCAGCTTTGCATCGAAGCTAAAACTTAAAATATAGTAAAATAATTTTAATACGAATAAGAAATTTCTTCTTGCAAGGGGCGACTAAAGTGATGGGATCCTTGATCTTTATTGAAGTTATTGAATCTAAATGAGATAAAAATCAAACGAGTTAAAAATTTATACTAACATAAAAAGAATTAAGAAAAAATGCAAAAAATTCATTGCCATACGCGGGTTGGAACCTCGTACCCCAAACGTGTAATACATAAGTTTTACCAATTCGGCAAATGCACATTGCTATCGTCGGTTGAAAAAATTAGTTATTTAAGCTAGATCAAATTTCAAAGTTATTTTTCTCGACTTAAAAGAAGCAAACAAATTTAAATAAGTTTAACTTTCTATGCTATATTAATTTTAATTTATATAATATTTATAAAAATCTATACTCCCCTTGTCAGGTATTTTAAAATAAAATAAAAAACAAAACCCAGAATTTTAACACAAAAATAGCAAATTTTTGAATACGGTAGTTATTTTTACAATGAAGACAAATCCAGAGGTCAAATTTTTTTTTTTCAAATTGAAGTATATTACATTAGCTTTAATTTAAGATATATATAAAAGTGTCAGTCTTTCCGGAACATTTTCAAAAGTTATGTTGAAAAAGTTAATTTTTTGTGAAAAAGTTGTCATTTTGAATCCCTTTCTGTGGGCAGAGAAAGAGTCAAATTTATAAAAAAAATATATAAAATGATAGGTAAATATCTAAGGTATCTATAAAAAACGAGGGATTTTTTTTCAATTTTTGAGGGTAATGTCTTCTACTACGTACAATTTGTGATCTTTTGACGTATCATTGATNAACGAGGGATTTTTTTTCAATTTTTGAGGGTAATGTCTTCAACTAGATACGATTTGTGATCTTTTGACATATTTTTCATCAAAATTGGTTCAGTGATACAGTGAAATCGGTTGAGCGTATACAGACACAAAAAAAAAAAAAAAATCATAGTAAAATTAATACCTTCTCAGCTTCGCATCGAAGCTAAAAAAATATAGCAATTTCAAAAGACAATCCGCTATTAATACCAGATGATTTGTTAGGAAAGGTATATTTTATTATGCTTTTTTTCAATAAAAAGATTTTAGGTTATATCCTAAACCATTTATTGGACTTAAAGCAGATTTCTTAAATAAATTTATCATATAATTAAATATATTTTTATGATCCGTTAAGAGTTTTCATAAGAAAAATTTGGAACGCAAAAAATCCGAAATAAAAAAACAACATTTTGAGATATCTCCTAATACTACTACTCGACCAAATTTAAAAAGAAATTCATCCGAAGAAGATGAAAAAGTCATAAAAAGTATACAACTTTTAAAATATAATTCATTTTTAAAAAATAATATAATAAACGTTTTGATTTTTGAAACAAATATATAATATTTTAAAACATAAATTATTTTAGAGCCAAAAGTTAGTTCTAATCCTTTGACCTTAAATACGCCGAATGACGTAAATTTACTTGCTCTGTCCACTATTGAAGTAATAAAAGTACCAGAGAAAGAAAAAGGTAATTAGTTATTTAATCTATTTATTTTATGAAAAATTAAATAAAAAAAGATTATTTATTAAACATAATTAATTATAATAATACGTATTAAATTAATATAACCTCTGCAGAGGTTTGTTATTAAGGTGGTCTATGGACGTTTTAAACAAAAGTAATTATACGTGTATAATTTCATATTCCAAAACCTTAAATAACCCTAACTAATTGTAAACTGTTCAACAAAGTATTTTATTAATTTTATGAAAAATGTTTAAATATGGTTACACTTGCAGAAGTAATGCAAGATCAGAACACAAAATCTCTTGATCAGTATAATGCACCTTCATTTAAATCGCCCACATCTTGGTATACTTCAGACACAATTAATGAGTACATTAAAATGATAGTAAAACGGTCAGAAGGTGAAGTTTATGCAGTTGTCACTGATTTTATTGTAGCGTATCTTCGAGGAGGTTATCCAGCTGTAAGAAGATGGATAAAAAAAGATATTCACACAATAAAATTACTTTTTGTGCCCATGAATGTATATGAGAGTCATTGGATATTGACAGTGGTTAATATACCTGAAAAGACTGTGACATCATATGATAGTCTTAAGTCGTATGAGGGTCCCTATCCAATGGTATTAAAAAATTTCTTAATTGAATGGGAGATGGACAAAAAAGGAAAAGCTTCTACATGGACATTACAAATAGGCGAGACATCTCGCCAAACCAATGGACATGATTGTGGGCCATTTACTGTTGAGCTGGCAGAAAAAATGTCTCGAGGAGATACAACACCAATAAATGGAAATTTTATGCCTTTTATAAGATTAAGACACAAAAATGAAATTATTGCTGGCGAGCTATTTAATTAATATTTTTATGAATAAAACTTTATTTTTGTATTTTATATCAATTTTATTAATATTCACTATAAATTGAAATTTTTATTTGTATACTACCAAACATTTTTTTTACTTTTTCTATGTTTAATTGTTGTTTTTTTATTGTATATTAATCTTATTTTTCTTTGTAACATTATTTCATTAAAGAAATTCAAATTTAATATAAATTTATCTTAACTGAAGTAATTTAATGTTCTTGTTATGTGAATATACAAATATTATAATATACAGTTATGGATACAATTAAGTTAAAAAGTCAGCCAATTATTATTAATAATTATTAAGTTAACAAGTGTATCTACTATATTAACAACTTAATTTTAATTTTACTAAATGACGATTCATAAAGAATTTCATAACTTATGTTTATTTTTTAAATACTATTTTAATTATAAAAAATTATTTTCTGTATTTTTTATGAATGCGGTATATTCAATAGGGGTAACTAAACTTATTTGTTTATAATTCTCTAAACTGACAAACTATAAAATAAATTTAAAAATGAACTACAAGTTCAGAATATTTCCGTTGTTATTATATTTTTGCTACGGGTATTTTTGTTATCTAAATGACCCAATGAAATCCAAATAATTTCTAGAAATCTCTGATAAAATGTAGATGAATACGTGTCGTCGAATCCTATCAAATTATCTTCAATTTTGTTATTTATTTAAAATACCATTTATTTTATAGTAAAATAAATATAGTATATTATAAAAAAAAGTTAATACCAATATATTGGGCATTTTTTTTATGTCAGGTGGTCTCCAGACATGGAGGACACCCCCCCCCCAAATAGTAATCATAGGAAAATAATATTACTATATTCCAAATGGCTTGCGGCACTTCTTAATTTAAAGAGACTTACACATTAGGCGCTTAATCGCGAGGAAATGCGGTTTTAAATGCGAACGCTGTTCATGTGAATACTGCAAGCGTTTTGACGCGTTTTTATAAATAGAATTAGCCCGCCAAAAGCTACAGTAAAATCACAACAGTTTCGAAATTCCTCGAGGTAGAATTTACTCCAAATATTTTTTTTATTTTTAAAGTATAAAATAAGTTACAATGGAGACATTAGATGATGTAGAAGTTGCATGAGTTGTGTACAACATGTATCTTCGATGAACAAAAAAACAAATGTTCGTAAACATTGGGTTCACCCCCTAAATTTAAAAAAACCTCGAAAAGGCCAATTTCAAGTTAATTTTTTAACTTTGAGGAGTTATTCCGAACAATTCTTCAGGTATTACCGTGTAGACATACGGTAATTCTTGAAGAACAAACCCAGTCAAACCTAAAATTCACATAAAAGTATTATTATGACATTTTATATAACTTATATCTTATAAAATATGATCTATTATAACATGAGAAATTTAAAAGTATTAAATTTTCATTTATAATGTGGATTTTGACTCGTTGAAATAATTTAGTCGGCAAATTTATAACTAACAGTTGTCAAAATTCAATGCACGCCATCCTAAAAATTATCACTAGGATCGCCCCTGTTGAAATAAAAATAATGTGTTAAAACTACGTCAATATTTGCTAAAATAGCTTTGTTATAAAGATATCGTGTATTGTGAGTATAATGTAAAAAAACTGAGGTAGTCCTAATTATAAAATAATAGGTATTCATAAGAATATAAAAAACGTTTTAATTATATTTTTGTGACTGTTACCACTTTTTCTGAGTTCCTACTTGACTGATATTGCTTAACGGCAAGTCAAAATATCACAAAATGTTTCTAGTTGAAACTATAAATTAACTTGTTCAACTAATTTTAAACAATTAATAAAACGTATAAGAACTGCATATACATAAAATGAACCTACTAAATTGTTTTTATATATAAATACTTTCCATAAAAAGCTAAAATAAAAAATTTCAAATAAAATGTTCGACAAAATTTAATTTTCATGATTTGAAATAATTCCATAATGTAAAACTATACATCTATATTAATATTCAATTTTAAAGTATACAGTAATTGTACAAATTGAACTGTATTAAGCTAATACACGTATTATCGTATTAATTTTATTAATATTTATATATATAGGTACTTTATTTAATACTTACCTGTATTCCAAATTGACTCTTCCAAATCTATGGAATCAATACAATTTTCTGTGTACAAAATACATGGTAAATAGAAGACACAAAAGGAAATGAATCAAAAGTAATACGTGAAAATAAATTGAATGAACCCTCCACGTGCCCGGAAATCACGGCGTTTAATCGCCCCGTGTGAATGATAACATGCGATTTGTATTGTTTACTTTTAGCATGTTTTTTGTCATGGTGTGTTTGGTTCAAATGAAATGCGGGTGTTTTATATAAAGCGATTAAACGTCTAGTGCGTAAGCTTCTGAAACTAGTGAATAATAATGACTAGTGAAATTTTGTAAGTGACATGTAGGAACTATAATGCAAATCTCCCCAACTATTAGACAGTTAAAATTCAGTTTATCAATCCACCTGTTACTCGATTGTAACAACTGCGTTTGGTAAAAGAAACGATACATACGACACAAATAATAAGCGATTGAATTTTAAACTATTTTTATACAAACATTGTTTCTGTATGTTGAATATTTCGTCTGCAATATTTAAATAAAAACGATTTCAATGGTAAAGATAAAAATATGTTGTTTTTTAAATTTTAATGACAAAGTATTATAGATACGGCTGTTTTGTTAATAACATTTTTAATGGTAAACATTTAGTTTTACAATTTAGTTCTATAATTTTTCTTGAGATTATTATAGATTAAAAGATAAGTTAAAGTAAAAACTACCCTCATGGTCAAATTTTCAACCCTCTTGCGGCACCTGAAGATGTATAAAAAAAAAATTTACCATAATCTCAAGACTAAACTGCAAATTTTTTTTTCTATTAGAATTTAATTATCAATATTTTCAATGTTTCGTTCCACCTTAGTGTGCATATTACGAGTTTTAGTTTTAAGGATAATTGCGATTTTGTCAATAACGATAATAGCTCTGCGTCTGTTAACTGGTCATGAGATAACTTATCAAATCCTGTGGTGGCGGTACATTTGTAGCTTCTATTCTCGATAACTGCATTCTGTGTACCTATTACATGCCATATGACTGTTGCGAGCTGATTGGTAAAATTGTCATGCATGTCGAGGTGGTAATTTATCTGAGTGTTGTGTGAATGCATACACTGAATGCGGTCCGTAATTATTTCAAATTCACGGGCTTCCAGCATGTAGCGAAAATGCTTCATGGCTTCATACACTGCTAAAAATTCGTAAACGTAAGCAAAGTATTTTTATTGTGTCTGTTTAAGTTTGCGAGAGAAAAAAGCATGTGGTTGCCAAATACCGTTTTGTCTTTGTTCTACTACTGTGCCTATCTCCTCATCTGACGCGTTACGTTGTAATCGAATATTCACGGTTGGGTCTATATATGATAATGTTGTGGCTCGCTTCAAGTGTTCTTTAGTTTTTTCAAATGCTCCCACTGAATAATTGGTTCATACATTTAGTGTTTTGTCATTTTTTTTACTGTTTTTAGGATAATCGTGAGGGATAGCTTGCGTACTTGCTGCGTTTGGAATACAAAGACGGTAAAAATTACACATAATCAAAAACGTCAAAGCTCTTGTACATTATTCGGCTGCGGATACTTGTCTATCGCTTCCAGTTTTTCAGGATTTGGTTTAAGGTTGCCCAAAATGTTGTATCCTAAAAAATGTTTAGAGAAGAGATACTATTTAATAGTATCTCTTCTTTTCCAAATGTACATTTATCCGTATTGATCACAATGCCGTACTCACTGAGACACGTTCGAGGTGACTCAAACGTTCTTGTGTCGAAGACGATGCAATCAAAATATCGTTCAAATAGACTTCACAAAAGTCTAAGTTTTTTAATACACCGCGTATGAAACGGTCTGAACTGCATTTTTAAAACCGTATCCCATCCGAACAAACTCAAATAAACCAAAAGGTGTTGTGAGAGCTGTTTTTGGAATATCAGACGGTTCTATCGATATATGGTTCAAATCTGTAATCAAATCGATTTTTGAAAAAAATACTTTTATTTTGCAATTGCTGTGTGATGTCTTGAATGTGTGGAATCGGGTACCTGTCCGGGAGGTGACTGCGTTTAAACTACGGTAGTCGCTGCACGGTCACCATTCACCGTTATTCTTTTTTACAAGTTGTAATGGACTATTTAAAAGTCGGCATATATCTTGTGTACACTAAGTATGCAAATACTTTTTAGCGGCCTCCGGCTAGAGGAAGGCGTCTTGGTTTAGCGAAGATGGGTGGTCCTTTAGTGATAATATGATGCATAACGCTATGTTTAATATTCGTTTGGGTCATATTTGTTCTTAATACTTGCGGACATTTTTTTAGTAACTTAATGTACACTGAATCGTCTTTAAATGCGAAAATACCCGAGATCATCGTTTTCTTAACATTTCCGGAGGTGGCTGATTTGGTATTTTCGTCAATTAGGCGTTTACTTCTCAAGTCCACTAATAAGCCGAAAAATGAAGAAAGACCAGCTCCTATGATTGATTTACTGATTGCCGTCACAATGAATTTCCATTTAAAAGCACGTCATAAATTTACAGCAATTAACTTTTCGCCGTATGTTTTTATTATTGACCTGTTGGCTGCAAATAATGTTGGGTTACAATCTTTAATATTGCTACGTTTCAGCTTAGGATCTGTTGACCAAACAGAAAGATCCGCACCAGTATCAATTAATTAAGTATTGAGTGTTTGTTATTTTATCAGCAATAGACGACGAGATTGAAACTCATTACTGTCGGGTCGTCTCAACAGTTGATCGTTTTAGTTTTCCGACGTCTACCGGTATTTACATGGCAGTTTGCATTTAGTAACATTATCTTTGAACCGATAATGATAATAACACGTATCATATCGTGAATGGTCTCGGCGCACAGGTGATTTTAAGTGACATTTATTGTAACTACGAGAGATGCTGTGGCCAAGTCGCTCTACTGCTTGTATGAGTGCTGCGATCTGACGTTCCAATTTTTTTATTGTCGTTGCATCGCCAGCTTGTTCGTGTGACTGACGGCGTGTGACCCTGTCACTAACGCTACAAACGGAAGAACCATCATTTGACTTTGATAATTTTATCTGCCATCGAAGCTAAGTTACTCAGCTTGTAATTGTTGACTGACATTATAGTTTTCACTTGAGGCGGAAACCTTTGCATCCATAGTGTTTTGCGTATTTCATCTGTCACTTTTCCACTAGCCAGTTGACGCATTTCTGAAAAAACGTGGTATAGTTTGCAATCACAGAATTCGACTTCGGTCTGTAATTTTCCTAACCGAAATTGTTCAGATTCGGAAAATCTTTCGATGACTCGGGTTTTTAGCGCATCGTACATATTTGTATCTGGTTGGTTAAGCACTATGTCACTTTATTGAGCGAGAATTTCGTTTTCCACAGGGAAACTTCGTGATGAAACTTGCTCGCGTCCGCTGTTATCCTAGTTGTATAAAATACAGATTGAATTTGTTTAAACCAAAGTTCAGAGTTAAGAAAGTTGGAATTTTAAATGGCCGCGTCGAATCCACATTGGTCTCGCCGTATGGTCATCGTTCCCGGTCGCATCGCCACGCACATTTATTACCGCACTATAGAATTTATCGTTCATCGCCGAATTTACCAATTTTTAGGGTTTATTTATTATTATTACACCACAATTTAACTAAAAAATACAAAGCAATAATTTTTATAACACACAATTTATATAACTTAGGTTGGAATAATAAATGTTATAGTCAGTTTGACGGACAATTCGAGACTAAATTAAAACTCACATACTGTGACGTACTATCATATAATTCATAATATATAAAAATAATTTACACGGACAAAAATCATCGACACATATTTTACTTAATTCCCACAAAATAATGTAATTGTAACAACTGCATTATTAAAAGTTGTTCTAAAAAAAAAAAATAGTCATTAAGTGTTATTAATGCGATTTCCAATATATTTTTCAGAACAATATCGTGTTGTTTCCATTTAAAATAAAAGTAAACATTTACTTAGGATTAAATAAAAATTCTTGTTTTGGATTGTCAACCAAGGTCATAAAAATTACAACTTGGTATTCACAGACTATATGACAAGTCACTTTTACATAGTCTGTAGTACTTATCACGGATAGTTAACATAAAGTAGAAAACGGTAGTACTTGTAAAAACTTAAAATAGGAATCTTGGGTAAATGAGAGGAATTGGTTTAATTAATAATTTCCTAAAAATAAAAATACTACGTTCAAATTTCAAAACGAATTAGTTAAATCTAAAAAGACTATGTCAATTAATACGATGTTGATACATTTTCAAATGTATTTTCCGATAAGTAGTAATTGTTAACATTTAACAATTATCACTTTAATTATTATATTAACCAAAAGTGACAGAAATCCAAAGGGTTTTATGATACCTAGATGTAAATTTTTAATCACATTTTAGATGTTGTTAAAAATTATTTTTTTCATTGAATGAATGAGTTAGATGAGAAATACGCATATACAGATCAACTAGAATAAAATTGTTAAAGGTGTTAAATGTATTTTCCCTATATTAAAAAATAAATTTATGCAACACTGTACAAACTTTTCCAAATTTTTTTTTTTGGTTAGTAGTTAAGCTTTCTCAAACCTTCCCATAATAGTGCTTACAAAAATACACATAAATTATAACAATAATTAATTCATTTAATTAAAGAATAACAATAGATTTTATATAAAAAATGTATTTTTATTGTAGTATAATATATTATATTTATTTAGAAATTTTATTTTATTTTGTACTAACATTAATATCGATTAAGTTTTGATATTCATTTTAAACATTCAAACTATTTTTATAGGATAGACATAAATAAATATTAATCTCAGTAATTGATAATTTGTGAAAATATTTAAATTTAATTTCAAGCTAAATAATATANGATAATTTGTGAAAATATTTAAATTTAATTTCAAGCTAAATAATATAGTAAAAATGAATTAATACATTAGCAACATAATTTACTTTACTGAGTACGAATTCTTATTTTTTATATAAAATATTAATTTGTTGAAACATAAAAATAAGTCATACTATTAAAACGAAACAATTATTTGTTACTTCAAGAAATAAACAAATATATTACATTTAATAATACAAAAGAATATATACATAGACACAATCTATTTTAGGTTTTTTTATTTAGTAAACATATTAATACATTTTGAACAATCAAAATAGCTGAGAATATTTTTTTTTTATTATTAAAATACATATAAAAAATGTTCAGTTAAAAAAAATGTTTTGCCATAATAATTTTCTTTAGCAAAGAATAAGCCTTATATAAGCGTTTAATAAGTCATTAAGACATAAAATGTATTTGAACATCACTGTGTTGTATATAGCATAATAGTTACGATTCCTCACAAATTTTGATAATAATATGTTAAGCATTTATATATGCTTAATTTATTTCACATTATTTTCTTTTTTCACACATGGCAAACATTTCTTAACAAAAATTATTTTTTTATTTTTAGTCAAAAATTGAAAAAACAAAAAATTATTGTATATATATATATATAATAACAATTGATAATTAATTTTGATTGTTCTAGTATTAATATGTCTCACAGTCTTTTTTTTTGTGTGTGATTTTTACAAGTTATAACCCAAAAAAAATCTAGATTAATATCAATGGATTCAATAACTGTTATAAAACACAATAATATTTATCAATGTTGAAATGCAGCTGCCGGTATATTATCTTTGAGTTTTGCAAAACTTTCAGCAGCATTATCATAATTCCAACCATTGTCATTTAAACATCTACAATCAAAAACAACATATATATATATATATAACAACATAAAACTTAACGCAACTTTGAGTTACAAGTATGTTGTACAAACCTTTCAGCCCACTCATCATTCATTCCAGAATCATTAGCAAAACGTTTGATCATAGCTATTTTTTCTGAACTTGTATTAGCAACAACTGAGTTAACTTCAGATTGATTTTTATTCATATCAGATGTTGTTGCTGATGAATTATAAAAGGGGTTACTGGACTGAGATGTTTGTTGTATATTTAATTGAAAAGCTTCTTGAGTTGTATTTTGTTGTAATGTATTAAGATGATCTGATTGAAATGTTTGTGGTGCTTGATAGGAGGGTGGTTGAATAGATGGGGTGGGCATAGGAGAACTTTGAAAATCTGTAAAAATAGCGTGGTTGTATGTTGGTGGGTAATTTGGAGTTGCTGTCTGAGGAATTGAGTACACTGAATCAATATCTCCCATGTCGTCATAATCGTCCATAAACATAGACCCACTATTATTATTGTTCCCATTTGAATTTGATTTTTTTCCTTGATTAGGTCTTGGAACATACATACGTTTAGATGTTTCCTAAAAAAATATATATACATTACATAAATACTTTGATGAATTCACCTAGAAATCAGTCAACAATTTTTCAAAAAAAAAATTACCATATATAATTCATTGTTTGCTAAAGTTACAAAAAGCATATCACTTAATATACTCCACCCACTACCAACAGGTACTATAGCAAATGTTCTACAGAATGATCTTATAGTCATTCTTTTATGTAAATCAAAATCTTCAACATATACACCATTCACAATAATTTGAACCATTGCCGCCTTTAAATAAATTTACTATTTAATATAATTATTCAATATATTTAATGAAATTTGAAATATACATTAGCTATTGGTACATCAACAATAAATGATTCTAAATCATGCTTGGTTTTTGGCAATTTTTCTAAAAAATTAACAATATTTTCTTTTCCCTTGTGCAAAAATCGAGATCTTTTAATTTTTCCCATCTCTGGTATCTTGATTAAATTACGACTTTCAGGTAAATATTGACCAAGACTTCCTTTTGTCCTAAAAAAAATTTAATTTATACATACATGTATATGAACATGCATATTATTTATGTAAAATTATACTAACATTTCAGTAAGGAAACAAGAAGACATTGAAAACGTAGCGTTTTCATGATATGCATCAGCAACTAATTGTTTAGATATTTGATTGTCAAAACGTTCATAGTATTGTGTTAAAAAAGAGCTAACCAATGCTGTTACAGGGTTAGGTTGCTCTGGGTTCTGACCTTCTGGTAGTGCATAACTATCACCAAGATTGATTGGCATCTTTAGTTTAGAACCAACAATAGCACTGTACCGGGATGGTAAATCCGATTCATCCTACAAAATAATAAACATACAGCATTGCCCCTCAACCTACTAACTCCCAAAATCCTTTTTTTTAAATTTAAATTTATATTAAAATAGAGTATATTAAATTAAGAGTTGTTTTAAATAAATTATAAACAAAAAAATAACCACTACAACCTATTATTATTCTAACACATTATTACTGACTTAAAAATAACTTAAACCAGACATTTGATCAAAATTTCAAAAGATATTAAAAACTAATTTATATCTTTTAAAATAATAATTAATATTTATTTTATTCGTATACTTTTATTATGAGATGCTATAATAGATGTAAAATGTTGAGTATAAAATTTTAAATAATTATCATCATTGATTTAAAAAGCAGTTATATACTATCATTAAATTGGTATTCTAAAGAGAAATAAATAAAAAAACATTAAAATAACCTATATAAAAAAATGGTCTTAAAAATATGAACTCAATGATATCAAAATGTCATTATTCAAAAAAATGTCAGATGCAAGTTATTTTCAAAACAGCAACAATATTATTGCATTTAATTGTTCAAAAAATATTGATACTCGTATATATCAAATTAAAAATAACTAAATTACCATGTACCATATCTCAACTGAATATTAATTTTTTCACTTTATGGAAAATCAACCGAAAAATAATACATTATTATCAAAATAAGAATAATTAAAATTCAACGTTTTTTTTTAGAATTAGTACCTCATGCTGTAACTTAGTTAAATTGAAAGTTGGTAATTTCTATTAGGTAAGATGTACATACCTTATCCACCTTACCTTTCCTATAAGAGTAAAAAATTACCATAACCCAGCTAATCAAGTATAAGAGAAATATTGGTGTAGTTGTTCCTTTAGCATACTTAGCATTATCAAAGGCAATATAATTAAAAAATAAAAACTTACTAATTTATTCAGCATAGGAAATAATTGTTGAATATCTCTAAAAAAGTTTAATATAATAAATTGATGAATTTTCATTAAATTTATAGTAATTAATCAAGAATTTTTACCGCCTATAACGCTCTTTATCTTCTGAATCAGCTACTGGATTTCTCATAAGATTTAGAACTTCAATACCAAAACCAGAAAGACAACTTAATTCTTTAATATCTTGAAACTAAAAGTGTTAATAAAATAATCAAAAACAAATATGTATATTGTTTATGTATTTATATATTTTTTTAATTTTATACATAATTGAGGGTATAAGCAAGGGGTGCAAGTTATTTTTCAGGTAAAATGAGTTTGACCTGAAAATAAAAATGTCAAAACTAAAATTTTCTTTAGTATTTACAATAGCATTAAAAATTAAGTTATCAAGCAATATTATTGCATTTTCAAAATCTACATTTATATTAATTCTCATTGTATTGAAATATTTTAAAACACTCTCTAAAAAATGGTAAAAATAGACTTACAACATTTTTGCTCAAACCTACATATATATATATATATATATTTATGTTACTGTAAAAAGTATAACAAACCTTATTTCCAGACAAATCTAAAACCTTTAAATCAGGAAACAGCCTTCGAATCCATATAAATCCTTCACCCATATAGATGTAATTATTTTCAAGACTTAAGCCATATAAGTCATGTTTAGTTTGTTGTGCTATCATATTTAATGTTGCCAAAAGAACAGTTGGGCGATTTAATGGAACAAACATTTGATTATCTGTAAAGACTAAAATAATACATTTTTAGATACCAATTTCTAAAAAAAATCATGTTTTATTGAGTTTTTAATTTATATACATTAGAGAAACATAGTGGTACACAATGATGCATAGTACAAAATTTATTGTATATACATAATTTAATTTCTGGTCATCCTGTTATTTATTAATTTCAAAAATAATAAAAAATATTTTAGTAGTTTGTTAAAATACTTGCATTAATATGAGGTAAAGTAAACAATTCATTATTTTGATGTAATATTTGAGTAGTAAGAAAGGAGTAATCGATACACATATAGTACCAAACAAAATAAATAAATAATTTTGTTTAATATAAGTATTTGGAAATATATTAGAACTAATAGAATAATAATATGAAAACTATTCAAAATACTACAATATTTTTCATTCATTCTATTTTAAAATTCATAAAAGACTAAATGAGGATTCTCCAATTGTTTTTATTCTTGATAACCATAACTGCTCCTTTGTGAATTTCAGAATTAGTACATTTTGTAGGGACAATTATATAAATCTTTTACATATTTTGTAAATATACACACACACATATATATAGATGATACAACATTTGGATGATTATTTATTTTTAAATTGATTCTTTTAAAAAAATAATAATTCAGACTTTTATTATATATGGATGACATCACATCCAGGAGTGATGATTACATTCAGTAGTGTGTTCAGAAATTTTAAATGGGGTATATTATCTAAGCATGCTACTCTCTTGATCTTTTTTTAGTTATTTATTTTTTTTTTTTTTTAATTTGTTATTATTATTATCAGAATAACATTAATTATTTTCCATGGATAATATGGATGTAGTCATAGACATAATATCTGTTATACTATTATATATATATATATATATACAGAGTCATCGGTTTATTATAAACCACTCGATTACTCTAAAAATAAATACAACATTGATAAAAAATTTTCAATTTAATTTAGTTACATGTTTTTTGATTTATCAGCTAATAATTACTTTTTAGAGTCATCCCTTATAAATTAAAAAAATGTCAACTTTACTTTATTAAATGGCAACATACATATTTAACTAGCTTACAAAATAGAAAATAATCTAATTAAAAAATTACTGGTCGATAACAACTTTAAAACCAGTATTTCAGAAGTTATTGACAATTTCAAGTAATGATTGTAAGTACCTGTTTACATTGTATAGAACGGGAGCATGTCAGAACTTAGTAGATTCTCTAAACAAATACAATGTAGGTATAGCAGCACAATAAAAGATAAGATGGACTGGAACTGGACAGATTAAAGTTGACGACTATGTCATATACTACAAAGGTTTAGATGATACACATCAGTTTGGTACAGGATTCGCTGTACAGAAATACTTCTCGTCCTGTGTTAAAAAATTTAACCCAATATCCAAACGTTTATGTAATATAAGGTTAAATACAAAACCCATGAATATATACATTATTAACGTTCACACACCCACTGAAAATATGGATGAAACAGATAAGGATGACTTTTACAACAACCTTTTAAGAATCTATGATGATGCATCTGGAAACATGGTCAAAATTGTAGTGGGAGATTGCAATGCCAACAATTGGAACATGAGTGCAGATGAAATAAGCAATAATAATGGACAAAGACTTATAAGTTTCTCTACATTCAGGAGGATGACGATCAGCCGCACAACATTTTTATATAAAAATATTCATAAATATACTTGGAAGAACCCCTATGGATGAACAGTGAATCAAATTGATCACATGCTCGTTGACACTAGATTCAAATCTAGCATAGTAGATGTGGGAAGTTACCAAAAATGAGGAACAAAACATAGAAATTGGGAATGATGTTTCTGAAAAAGTCAAACAGTTTAAGTATCTAGGATCAACCATCACTGACAACAATGACTGGAGTCTCGAAGTTATGAGTCACATACATAAAGCATTGAGGACATATTTCGCACTTTATAAATATCTCAAGTCATGTTTTCTAGAGAGACTAAGATTAGGTTATACATAACCATAATAAGGCCCTCGGTAACTTATGAGTGCGAAGTATGACCCACAACCCTTACTTAAAATAAAATACTGAGAATGATATGTGGCCCAGTTTTTGACAGCGAACTTAACAGATGGCACAGAAGGAGCAATGCAAAGCTAAGAGAAACCACCACTAAAGTACCATTAGTAATAAGCTACATTAAAAGCCAAAGACTCCAATGGTTTGGCATGCAAAAAACTGAAAATGCAAATGTAAGAGCAGCAATCAAATGGCAACCGAGGGGAAAAAGACCTTGAGGAAGACCAAGGAAGAGATAGATAGATGGGGTTAGAATGGATTTGGAAATACTGAATTTGACAGATTGGGAAGATAGAATCCAGAATCGGGAAGATTGGAGAACAATGAAATTTCTTAAAGAATTGTAAAGCCAAAGAAAAAGAAGAAGATATTTGGTCATTAAACTTTGAAGTTGATAATTTTTTTCAGTTGCATAAATTTAAGATTTTGTCTAAATTTTTAAATTAAATGTTTTTTCCAATATTTGATGACTATAAGTCAATTTAACTAAAATTGTGTTCTTTTGACATACTGATCATTAAAATTGGTCCAATTAGAGTTGAACATTTTTACGGACAGATATAAAATAAACACACAGCTTCAAATCCAACTCTTTCTTAGTTTCACATAGAAACTAATAATACTAAAAATTTACTTAATTGAGCGTATTATAAAAATTTATCGTAATTGTAAAAAACCGTTGTAAATTCAGGTGAAAATCAAAGTTATTTTTTTAGAAATGATTTTTACAGAAACATATTACCAAAAAAATTGGAATATTATAGAATGGTAGTAAAACACACTAATATAGTTAAAAAATTAATCAATAACAAAGTAAAATTATTCAACTATATATTTGAAACCTGTTATCATATCTAATAAAAACCCAGCACAGGGGGGTCGTGGCACAGTGGTGACGTGGCATAGATGGATCAAGTATAATGATATCTGACAGTGATTAAATTTCGAACTTTATTTTATTTTCATGGTGAAAACAGACATCAAAGTTAATAAAAAAAAAACCCAGCACAGGGGGGTCGCGGCACAGTGGTGACGTGGCATAGTTGGATCAAGTATTATGATATCTGACAGTGCTTAAAATCACTATAAAAAAAAACGCTTCAATGCAAATCTTTAGATAGTGTTTAATTTTAAAAAATTGGTGGATTATTCCAAAAGCAACATGATCTGCTAGTTCGTTATTAATATCCTGATTCAGATAAAGTATGTCGAATAAAAGATGTATATAAATACTACTTCTCATGAAAAAATTTTTCAAATAGTTATAGCATAATAAAATTAAATATGTAAAATACAAAATCGAAAATTTTCATACAAAAATAGCATTTGGTAGCCATTTTCACGGTGAAGATAAAATAAAGTCCGAAATTTTTTTTTTTCATGATAAAGTATATTACATTAGCTTTAATTTAAGATATATATAAAAGTGTCAGACCTTCCGGAACATTTTCAAAAATCAAGTTGAAAAAATTAATTTTTTGTGAAAAAGTTGTCATTTTAAATCCCCCCCTGTGGGCAAGTAAAGGGTCACATATAAAAAAAAAATATACTAAATGATAGGTAATGATATCATGCATCTATAAAAAAAAGAATTATATTGATTTGGTTATTTTAAAAAAAGTTATAGCAATTNAAAAAAAAAAAAAAAAAAAAAAAAAACAAAACACATCTTAGTAAAACCAATATCTTCTGAGCTTCGCATCGAAGCTAAAAATTTGACAATATATAATTTAAAACCATTAAAAATGAATGATTTTAATTATCTTTATGGTGAAATTTGGTTATGCGATTTTTTATTTGATAAAGGGGAATTTTTTTCAATTTTTGAAGATAATATCTATAAGTAGGTACAATTTGTGATCTTTTGAAAAAAATTGTTCTGATGAGCTGAAAAAAAGTGGCAACAAACATAAAAAAAAAAAACACATCATAGTAAAATTAATACTTTCTCAGTTTTGTATAAAAAAATTGAAATATATTTAAAAAAAAAAAATATTGTGATAAGTATAAAATGAGTAAAATTTAATAAATGGACTGTTAAAAAAAAAAAAGTTACTAAGTTACTATATAGTAACTTGGAGCAATAAAAAAAACAATATTAAAATTACATACATAAAGCACTACATGGAAAATTTTAAAATTATTTTTGATATTAATTTTTTTGAAATGATGGAGAAAGGCTTCAATCCAGGAAATTAACATACTCAAAACTAGTTTGACTCTTAAACCTATCATTTAGGTCTCATGTACCTAATACCTTTCTTAAATGTAGTTTTTACCACAAAATATTTTAGACTATCTTAGCTATTATAAATTAATTAACTAGATACATATATATTATACTTACTTTGACAAGCATGAAATCGTGATAAATCTAAACTTTTAGTATTAGGATTATAGCGTGTTGACATAGCTTCAATCATTTTCTGCTTTATTTCATAAGGTACTGGCGTCAAAGAATTTACAAAACGTGAAGGCAAGTGTATACTAACTTTAATAATTAACTGAAAATATCACTAAAATAAATACATATTGATCTTATGTAATGACTGTTAACTTACTTTTTTACCATCACGTAATGATAGTTTATAACTTGTATTATGCAATGTCTTAGCAACTTTGTGGTCATCAACTAAAAATTGTAGATTATTATTATTTAATCTTTTCTAAAAAAAAAAGTTATTTAATTAATTTCAGCATTTCAAATTTCTTTTTTAGATGATATATTACATTATAAGGATAAAATGATACAGGTGTTATATAAGTTTGGATTATTTTTAAAACTTCATCTCCATCTTCTACATTTGGTACCTACAAAAATATTTAATTAAGCAACAATCAATAACAGTAATCTACTAAATAAATCATTATGTTTAAGCCCCACACAATATTATTCTACTAGTTTATAAAAAATGTTTTAATTTTAGTTTAACATTTTTTTTTTAATTTTTAACAAATTGAATCTATACAAATTTTAAAGTTATTTACATGTAAAAGGAAATGGGAAACCACTGCATCCAACCTACTCCCTACAATACACCAGTTCAACTGTAGTGTTGTTTAATTCATCTTTTGATTTAAAACCAAAAAAAAAAAAATGTTATTTTAATATAATATTGAATTAATAATTTAGTTGGAAGATAACCATACAAATATTGGGGATTATCCATTTCACAACTGATATAAATTTAAAATAATGGAAATGCCTTGGACAATATATTTTTCATCTTTAACACAAAACTTGGCTCATTACTTAGACTAATGTGTTTAACAACCTAAAGTTCCAATTAGTCCAAAAAAATACTACTATAGTTATTTTATAGGAACATAATGAAATTTTAAGTATATTTTTAGTTTTACAAGAGAAACTATTACATACACGTATAATAAATTACAAATCAATATAAAATAAATTTGTTTGATCCTAATGAGTATGATAATTATTATTTAATGTACTTCTGAAGAATAAAGTAATTAATACTAATGTTTAATCAATTAAATTTTTTTTATTTTTAAGTACAAAAAATTTACTTACAAATATTGCATACCATCCAGTAATACTTTCCTTTAAGGTCCATGAAGAAGTCCTAAAATTAGTATGACTTCCTCGGCCTCCAGCATTTCTTTCAGGAAAAGATCTACTTTATTAAATTTTAAATTTATAAATAGGTATATCAAATAACTTGACATACTATTAAATAATGCTTACCGTCTACTACCATTATTTCTCGATGGACCATTTCTTTTAGGATATTCATTATTTAGTTGGTCTCTTACTAATTCTGATTTATTTTCCCAACTTTTTCGGAAATTATGACCACCACGGTTATTGGCTTTGAATGTAACTCTCTTATTAAAACTTTGGCGGTCTGAATAATTACCTCCACCTCGACTAGTACTAGGTCTTGCAGTTCTATCATCATGTTCATTATTATTACCTAGAATAAAATTTTGATTCTACAACTATAAATCATAACTTTGATCCATTAAAAATAGTAATTTTATTTTTTAAATCTTCATATTTTAAAACACACTATGGTAGAAACTAGTTAGCTAAAAGAGTAAACTATTAAAGCAAAATTTTAAATGCTTCATTTTTATTAAACTATCTAATGTTGGGTATTATTAATTTAATTTCTTACATTTTTATATCTATTAACATCAACTATAAATTATAGTTATTATACAACATTCAAAATTTACCTTACACTCATACATTAAAGTTTATCATAGATAGAACCATTTATAAATTTGTTTATACATTGGACATAGTACACAATAGTGATCAATAAATAAATAAAAACTTTTGCTATTTATCTTTTTTTTTTTGGTAAAAATAAATTTTATTTATTATAACTAGAAGCATACGCATATTTTAATTTTTACAATTATTCATTATTCATTATTCAACGAGTTATTCTACATTTTTTATTCATTATTTGGTTATTCATTATTCAATTATTTGTTATTCATTATTCTTCATAGTCATGTTTATCTCAAATGATTCGTAAATAATTTAAAATTACAACTTAATTGAAAATTGAAACTAGTATTTTTTTCTTATTGTTATATTATCTGCTATCGATAATGTCAAAACCAAAAATCATAAATAATTTCTATGAGGCTAATCTAAATGGTTTAGCACTTGATATCGACATGTTATTTACCTGCGTTTTACTGCTTTAATAACATTTTTATATTTTGAGTATAAAGTTGTATTAAAATCAAATTTAAATTATGAATTACAAAATAGAAACTAAAAATTAAAATTAATTATTATTTTTGTCACGATTATTGTTATTATTATGTAAATTATTGTTATTGTTGTTATAATTATTTGCTTTGTTATGTATATTATATTTTTATCATAATTTTGTTATACCAAAATTGGATATTATTCACAATTTATTTAACTAATTTATTCAGAATAATCAATTTATTCATAAGTTAAATTATTCAGAATAATTTTTATTTTTTATTCACAACTAAAACTATTTAAAATAAAATATTATTCTTTATTCACAAATTAATTAGTTATTCATACTTTTATTTTTTATTCATTAGTTTGATTTGTTTTTGCCCAACTCTGTATGGGAGACACGAGGGTAAAAACTCTACAATATATGAACATATTAAAGAAAAGTACTCATGTATTGTATAAATATATCTAACTTTTTTTGAAATAAGCATATTTTTTTCTAAATTAAACAATTCAAGAAAAATTCAGAAAGGAAGAATCAACAAGTAAATAAATTCTTATATAATTTTCTGTTGTTGCTTAAGATTTAAATTGATAAATTTTAAGATGAATAAAAATAATTAAAACTAAACCAAATTAAATGTCTTGTCATTTTTAAAAATGGATGAAAAATGAAGAAAATTGGAATATGAGGATTATATCTCAACGTGTTCAAATGAAAAAGATAAGTATTTAAGAATACAGTTCTTACGAGTATTATTGTTATTGTAAACATGATATCTGTTATTCCTTCCTCTGGATCGACCAGCCATAATAATTGCAACTACCAAAAGAGTGGCACTTAAAGAAAGCTAAAAGTAATAATGAGAAAAACAGTATGGTGCACAACGCATTAAGTTGACCATTTAACGAATTGTATATTATCTTATGAAATGTCACGTTATCAAAATGAGACAGACGCAAATAATATTAAATAGAAAGTTAATGATTTCTGGTACCAGATATTACCATTGTATATTAATTAAAACACACTGAAAACCTTTTGTCATAGTTAAATATATTATCACAAATCCATGTATAAACTACCATGTTTTTTGCATATACTGTTCAAGGATACAGTGTGACCATTACAACTATTTGACTATAATATCACAAACTATATGACAGACATATAGTCTGTGATAATATTATACGTATTCTGTATTGTTAACGATTATGTAATTGTAATAATTAATAAAATTAGAGTATAATTTTTTTAATGAAGTACTTTATCTTTAAACACTATTCTTTGGAATAATTCTATTTATGCAAATATATACTCATTTTTTTACAGTTAACTTTAGCTTACATTTTAATTTATGTTGCACAATTCTAAGATAAAGATTTATTGTGCAAACAATAAAAAAATATATTAAAACGAGCGTATTTTTAGATTATTAGTTGTTCAAATGCTACACATAATAATTCATTAAATTAATCTTTTTTGTCCAGCAGTTAAAAAATTAACAGGAGAATTATATTGTAATATTCTCCTTGGGAATATTAATAAAATCAATACCTCTTATATAATTATAAAAAATATATAAACAAAAAAAAATTTGAATGTTAATTATAAGTAATAATTGAAATAACCTGTAATTCCTTTTAACAATTTAAGCTTATAATAATTCTAAGATATGAAATTATATAATTCTAATGTATCACGCTTATTCAATGTAAAACTTTACATAAAAAAAAAAATGTATAAAATAAATTTAAACGAAGAACTTCAATCAACTTCAAAAATACAAAAAAACAATCAATCAACAACCAGAGTATACGCATACTAACTTGAATGTTTCGTACATTGTTCGGTCTACAATCAACAATGTCTTACTAAGGAAATTCAAAATTCTTCAACTGCCAACTAAGTGACCATAAACATCAATATGAATCAATAGTCGACAATGATTTTGAGGGTAAGAACCCATAAGCCATTTATGGCGAAAGTGAATCAGTTCGTCGAGTTTTCGGCCGTGCTTCACTTGTTAGACTTTACATCATGATGTATGACACATGATGTTGGAAAATCAAATACTCATAGAAGAACGACATCTGACAAACGTGACACGAGTCGCGAGACGTCGTGTATCATCAAGCTATGAGGAACCGAAGAACTTTTATTATCAAAATAAAATATTAAAACAAAATCATTCTACGAGAGCTCACAACATTCATCTTATAAATTGGCAATAGAACTTAACATAAAGTTACATAATAATAAGTTTTCACTACACTTAGTATGGCACACAAATATACTTCACTAACCAAATAGAGTAATACTCACTCAGTCAATCAGAACGAAGGAAATATGAAAAATATGAATAATGTACGATAATGTTTGAGTGAACAAAATACTTAAGAACTCTATTACAAAAACTTGATGAAGACTTCGAATAAAAAAAAAAAAACAAACAAATATACCCTTTATGCTTATATAAATTTTTTCTATTTTTCGATTGTATTAAAATAATGAATACACTATCCTAGATTATAACTATTAATATTTAACCATACTATCACTTACATAATAAACATGCTTTTACTATTAAGCAGCATGAGGACATGCTACAGAAAAAACATAGGTACATTTTGTAATATTCTCCTTTGGAATATTAATAAAATCAATACCTTTTGTATTTCTAAGACCACAGAAAAGAATATGCTAACACGATTAGTATTATGGTATTGACTTTTGGCAACTACGAAGTAGCCATGAGTCATTGTCTGTCTCAGCGTCTTCTAGGCACCACAAAAAGCATTAAATAAGGGAAGGTGATAAAAAGTAACTGTCTTGTTTTGACTGTAAAGCATAACTCAATCAGACGTTTCATCCCTATTTATGTTTTTCGTGGTATGTTATATAAGGGCTGGAGACTGCTTTAGTCAGTCAGTCAATCTTTCATTTTTCTTGTTCATTTCTCTCACTACAATGTCAAGCTAATCAATTCAAAATATAATTCCAAACATACTTGTGCGTATTCTTTTCTGCTGTTTGTTTTTAGACTTAACTTTTTACACTAAATTTAAAATATACATTTGTCAAAATAATTAACACTTTCTATAATAATAAATACGCTTCTGCTAACCAAGTTCGATTCTCATTTATTAACATACTTACTATAGTTTTAAATATATTCTTAACAACCATAAATCTACACTCAAGATTCTATCATCATCAGTGAATATCAGGTAAGAGTAGTTTTAATACACCAACTACACTAATAAAGTAACAACTAGAAACAAAGTACTTGTATCTATTATGTCTTTACAGATGATGTCATTATTATTCTTCTTTATTAATACCATCCCCAACAACTTTATTTTTAGTTATTACAATATACATTACTTTAGATATTGTTAATTCTTACGCGTTTAAATAATAAAAAAAAAATTATAATTAAGAAAATACCTACTTGTAATAATGTAAAGTTAAATAATTTTAATATAAATATTTCATATCCTTGTACTTTAACTTGTAATCTACCATTATCACACAAAAACTGTCTATTACAATACTAAGAATAGCAAAGATGGGCAAGTTAATAAAAATAATTAACTCAAGTTAAGTTAAGTATGATCAATGTCAATAAATTAACAGTTAAAAGTTAACAAATTATAAGTTAAATGACAAGTTGAAATTTTTTTTTAACTTATCTAGTTTAAAAAGTTTATTTCATTTAAAATTAATTTTTTTGCTAAAATCTCTTAAAATAATTTTTTAATGGTCGGTGATGCAAGGGAAATCTAAGAATTGTTTTTCAACTTTTAAAGTTGAATATTCTTTTCTTTCCTCGCCTTCCTCCAACTACTTGGGGTTGGCCACCCTTGTCCTAAACTTCTACTTGACACGATCTCTCACATCACGTTTACAACAACCGTCATCATATCACATTCAATAACATCCTTCCATCTCTTTTTGGTCTTTTTCTACCTCTTCTTCCTTCAACATTTATTTCTATAAATATTCTTACCGCTTCCTCTCTCCTTATAACATGACCAAACCATCTAAGTCTATTTTCTCTCATCTTATCCACGATTGATGCTACACCTATACTCCCTCTTATATGTTTGTTCATTATCCTATCATCTTCTCTAGTCACTCCACTCGTCCATCTAAGCATTCTCATCTCTGCTACACTCATTTTTTGCTCTACTTTCTTGTAAACCGCCCAAAACTATGAACCATACATCAGTGCTGATCTCACTGTAGTTTTATAGAACTTACCTTTCAGCCTCATTAGAATTCTCTTACGCATAACACACCAGAAGCTTCCTCTACTTCAACCACCCCCACTTAATCCTGTGTCTTACATCATCATCAATACCATCGTTTTTTTGCACAACTGATTCTAAATACTTAAAACTTTCCACCTCTCCAATCACATTCTTGATTATTGTCACTGCTCTCTTTATTTCACCTACTATGTGTTTTTTTTTGTCAAACTCGTACTCTATATACTCTGTGTTACTTCTACTTATTCTTAATCACTTTTCTTCAAGAGCTGATCTCTATGCCTCTATCTATTCATTAATTGTTACCTTATTCTATCATATTAACGCTATATCGTCAGCGAAAAACATGCACCACGGTACCTCTCCATGTATTTCTTTAGTAATTTCATTCATCATTATAGAAAATAAGTAAGGATTTAAAGCAGAACCATGATGCACTCTTACTCTTACCCTAAAACCTTCTGTTACTCCTACTGCTTTATTCTTTTTCATTGATGCCAGTCTCTCATACCTCTTTTTCACTAATTAAATCTACCAGTCTTTCGTTCCACGAAATATCCTCTAATGTCTCTTTAGGATACTCCTCATTCAGTAATTTTTCAATTATTTTTTACATCATCACTTGATAGTTTTTATTTACCTTACATAGTGATAATCTTTAGACCTTTTTTCTCTTACTTTTGCAAGTCTGTAGACTTCTTTTTCACCTTCCTTTGTTCCTAGCCTATCATACCTTTTAAACTTAGGAAAAAAATACTAATGATGACAAATTTTTTTTTCGTTTTGTACATTTTTGTGTTGGTTACACTTTTTTATCTTTAAAACTAGTTATTAAAAAAAAATCAGTTAAAAGTCATATACATTTTTGAAAACAATCCAGAAAATTATATTTATTGTTATATAAGTATAATATTTAGGGAGGAAATTTCCATTTTTTTTTTAATTAAACGGCGTATGCAACGTATAGACACATTTTTTATAGAATATTGAATTTAGTTTAACTGTTTTTTTAACTAATTAACTGAAAAAATCTAAGTTATTTCAATGAACAATTAAATTAGTTAAGTAAAAAAGTTTATTAGAAAAATAATTAACTCATTAAGTTGAAAAGTTAAAAGAAAATTAACTTTTTAACTTAACTTTAACTTTTTAAATAGTTAATGCCCAACATTGAGGAATAGCATTAAACTAAAATAATAATAACTGGAAAATATTTGGAATTGTTTCATGTTACTTTTTTAGCATTATTATAAAATTATTTTATAAGAAATTATTAAATATTTTAATTTTTATTTATTTATTACCATATAAAATTTATTGATTTATAATTTTATTTATAAAGTTAGAATTTGTTATTTTAAGACATTCACCTACTATAATTATTTGTGCAGATTTAATAACTAGATAAATAGAATTGATAAAAAACAAATCTTTTATGATTCTTTATTANAAATTATTAAATATTTTAATTTTTATTTATGCTTTAATTTTTATTTATTTATTACCATATAAAATTTATTGATTTATAATTTTATTTATAAAGTTAGAATTTGTTATTTTAAGACATTCACCTACTATAATTATTTGTGCAGATTTAATAACTAGATAAATAGAATTGATAAAAAACAAATCTTTTATGATTCTTTATTATGAAATGGATATAAATTTACCATTACTAATAATAGAAATTTTTTATAATTTAAAAGATAATTTTATTTTGATTATAATCCTTAGTTATTCACTTGTCTGACATTAATATTTATCCTAGTATCTTGTATAAAGTTTTTAAAGGGTTTCCAATCATAACTATCATCGAGATCATTATCATTTAATAATGGTAACACCTTAGGTATACCATGAAAACTAAGTCGACTCTCTCCACTCATGATGACAATATCTCCTGTTTTTAAAAGAATTCCAAATGCATTTTTATCTAAAGTAGATCCTCCAATAAGAAAAATTGCACTCAAACCAAAACTAAAACAAAAAATAATAAAATCATTTAGAAAAAACGATAAAACTATCATTATTAACACAACTAAGAAAGAGACTTTTTATTAAATATACCTAATTGATAATAGTGGAGCACTTATATTAATCTCAGAATGATCAGTGTGACCACAAAGTGTTGATGATAGATGGTAAAAGTTTATAATTGCAGCCTCAGCGACAAATTCATCAGGAAAATTTAGTAATTTAATAATAGTTCTACTGAGTTCAGCTAACTCTGAAGGAAATTCAGATCTTGCGGATTCAGAATAAATCTTAAATATACACAATAAAAACAATATAAATTATAAGGATCCTATTAAAATTATTATAAATAATAAATTTATATCAAAACTGAAACAATTATTTCAACATATTATAGATCAACCTGTATCACTAATATGTTATAAATGCTTGATATGAATATGCCATAATGTTACTTATATATTTACTGTTGAATAAATATATTTAATACTGTTTACTTTTAGGGAAAGTTTTAATGATCACCATAACTCTCCCTAATAAAAGATTTTACCAATCCTGTATTTATGATACAACTAGGGAAAGGATTCTCATGGTGGTATTTAAATAAAAACAATATTTTTTTGGTATTAACGACATTAAAATTAGGTTATGATCATCTGTTTTCTCACGGGAATGATGAGGGGATAGAACCTCCTTATAATAAAAATATATACCTGGTAAAGATTCATTTTGAAGGGAGTAGTTTAAAATTCCTTAGGTAAATCCAACCAGACAAAATCTTAAGAAAGACACTGGTGATGATAAATTAAATGATTTTCAGAAAGGAAAAATTTTATATTGCAAATCAAAAATATTGCTAAACATTACCCATAGTCAGAAGTATATTTAGAAATTTTATGTGGAGGATCCAGATAGCTTATAAAATGTTAATAACATAATAACTAAACCTTTGTATTCCAATTATGATGATATCCTAGCGTTGCCCATCTCAATTTGTTTTTCAATAAAATATCACCAGTTCTGAAAAAATTATACTATTANGATATCCTAGCGTTGCCCATCTCAATTTGTTTTTCAATAAAATATCACCAGTTCTGAAAAAATTATACTATTAATTTTTTAAACAAAAAAAATATTAATTCTTAAATAAATAATTTTTTTAAATTTATAAACAATTTTTTTATATTATAGCTTAAATAATAAAAATAATTAAATAATAATCTTAATAATATACTTATTTACTGTTGTCCACCAATCTTCATCAGTTTTCAACATATTATGTGCATCAATATTCAAAATATTTGGTTTTCTTGTATAGCTTGCCACACATCTTTGAATCCAAGTTTTTTCCCCCTTTTTAGTGAACGGATTTCGGATTATAACTAAGCCTATGTAGTACAATTGTTCAATTTTTAATTATAAAAACAATAATATAAAAAAAATTTTGATTAAAAACATTACCTGGTTTTTTAATAAAATTGTAACATTTCCATTCAAATACATTACTATTTAAACCAAGGCCACTAAGAAATTCACAATCAAACTCATGATTGACTAAATATTTTCTTTCCTAAAATAAAGTGATATTCTTTTATTTTTGTATATAAACAGTTATATTATTAAAAAATTAGTCAAACAGATCATGTAACATTTATATTACCACAAACTCACTGACATCATTTATTTTGTCAACATCTATTAGATCAGGTTCATTTACAGAATAATCCAAATTTTTATAGTACTTGAATTTTTCTTTAAACATTTCTTTTCAAAAATGTTCTTTAAGTAATTGTAGTGTGTTTAGTTTAAAAGTAAACATATAAATGAAAGTGATAAAATAAGCTGATAAGTGATAGTAGACTATCATATCAATGGCATTTAAAAAAAGTACTTATTTGGATTTTAAATTCATAGTTATAGTTAACTATATTCAGCTCATAAATAGGAAGGTTCTTTATTGTCACATGTGACATTAAATTTTCTTCATATTTTTTTACAACTATGTCAGCAGAAAATAATGACCTTGATGAACCCCAACTTTCAGCTGAAACATTAAAAGCATTAAAAGAATTTTATGAAGAACAAAATGAAAAAATCTTGAATCTATATGGCGATAAAAAAAATATCTCTGATATAAAATTTGATGAAGATTGGGTAAGACACTAATGATAGGTAAAACAAATAAAAAAATTAATTACACAAAGATTTTTCAAATTTAATTTATTTGCATAGTTATGAATAAGTATTCTATAATAACTATATTGGTATTTTATTTTGCAATACTTAATATTTAGTAATATTTGTTTTTATCGATTATTTATATTTATTAAAAACGACTTTTCAAGTGATCATTAGAAACAGACTAACAACATTGCAATAGTTTTTCGTCAAATTTTATTTGTCTGTCCTAAAGATACTTTCAAAATTGATTATAAAAAATTAAATCATTTTTATTTAATAATAGTAACTATTTATTGATATCATGAATTTGCTCAAATAAAAAAAAATGTATTTTTTAAAAAGACACTAAGATTACATTGCATATACTTCTTTTTTATTTAATATAAAATATTTTTCAGCACTTCATTTATTAGTGCTGGTATTAGTTATTGCAAAAATGTTTTTATGGGCACTTTTTATTTATTTTTAATAAAAAATACCCTTATTGTACATTATATGCAGAACCATTTAAACATGGAGCTCATGGTAATTGTATTGTTAGCGATGCTTTTTTGTCAGTCCCATTATTTATTTATATATTGTATAAAAAGTTATTTTTGTAATTATGGACTTTGATAATTTATAAGATAAATTTTTTGTATTAATATTAGTCTTTGCTACAGAAGTTATATTTGGCTCGTTATAATAATCTATAAGTTGTCTCTCCTCAATAGCTAGTGATTTATTGTATATTTTACACTAAAATCTATAAAATAAATTAAACTCTTAAATTAATTTTTTTCCAAATTCTCCTTCTTTTTATGTGACTAGCAACTTAGTCAATTTTGGTATGATGAAAATACATGTGAACAACTAGTTAAATGTGCAGTTCAAACAATTGGATGTCATGGAACAGTAGCTTTAATATCATGTCCAACATTATATAAACACTTCAAAAATAATTCACCTTCTATTTCGGGTATAACCAACTATTATTTTAGATATTACATTAAAAATTACATTCGTGTTTTTTTTTAGTTAAACTTTTTGAATATGACAAGCGATTTAGTGCATATGGAATTGATTATGAATTTTATGATTACAATGAACCATTAAAACTAAACAACGAATTATTTAATTATTTTGACCTAGTCATTGTTGATCCTCCGTTTCTTTCAGAAGAATGTTTGACAAAATCAATATTAACAGCTACAAATCTAACAAAAAATAAGCTTATTCTTTGTACAGGTTAGACTTTTTATATAGTTTTACATTGAAAACTTATTCAAGAATACTTCTTTTTCTAGGTGAAGTTATGGAAGGTACTGCAAAGAAATTAATTAATTTACACAAGTGTTCTTTTATACCTAAACATAAAAACAATCTAGGTAATGAATTTGCTTGTTTTACTAATTTTTTATCTCCTCTTGATTAGATATTTTTCATAATAATATTGTTATTATATTTAATTATTAAATGTAAGTAAAAATATTGAGTTTACAATAAATGCATATTTTTTCATTCATATCAATCTTTGGTTAATATTTAATGAAAAAAGATTAATGTTCATAAATGTTATTGTATATTTTATTAAATTATATACTTTTATAGATAATTATTAAATGAGTATTATTTTACCATGAACATTAAATGATCTTTAGAAAAAATCTTTAAAAAATCATTTTTATTATTTGAAATTATATCATTTAACATATTGAATTAAAAAAAAAAATTTTGTAGAAACACAAAATAACAAAATTAAATAATGATAAATCAATAGTTAATTTTTAAATTTTCTTTAAAATACTATATAATACAAAACAAAATATCAAAAGGTATGTCTGTAAATATATTTAAAAATAAATATTACCATGCTATAAGTGTTCAAAATGTATCATAATTATAAATTGAACTTTGTAAAATAAAAACATTAAATTTACAATAAATTATTTTATACATAACAAATAATTTCAGTATTATAAATTATTAATAGATCGTAGTATTTTGTTAAATTAATAATTTTAAGTTGGTATAATTTTCTAACATTTCTTTTACTTTACTAAACTATGAAAATTTACATAAATTATTAGGTAATAATACCTAATAAATTAGGTTAAACAATACATTGTTTTATTTATTCTCACAAGTCTTATGATAAATAAAATGTACATAATAGAAATAGAATAATTTATAATAAATTATTTTTATGATATAGGAACAATAATTACCTTAAAAAAAAAACATGTAAAATTTTATAGTTAATTAACATTTGTGTAAAACTCTTTATAACAATACAATGCTTTTAAAACTAATGGTAAAATTAATTTTTGAATATATTAAAAATTAAAAATATACATAGTTAACTAATGATTTTAAGTTTAAATTCAAAACATTTATTTACAAAAATAATACTATTAAAAATGGAATATATAATAATTTTGGACTTCACTTTGTAAAAATATTTTAGAAGTTTAAAATTTATATAACATCATGAGGGACATATATCTCTTTTCCCAGAAAATGATACTATAGATCTAATTCCCTTCATAGAAGTCTAAACAAGAAAAAAGTCCAGTTAATAAATACTGGAATAGTAAAAATAATTTTAAATGCATAATTTGTAACAAAATACCTTTTTTTTAGAAGTATTTAAGTACTCTTTATACATATCTGACCTTATGTATCTCTGATAACTGTCACTTTTCATTAAATGATAAACATGCACCTAAAAAATAATTAAAATATAAAAATATATTAAGTTATATTTTGGTAGCCACAAAGAAGTAAAATATGAAGATTTTTCTACATTTCATACAATGATAATTATAAGAATGATTAATCTACAATTATAAAGATAAAATTTTTCTTTTTTCAAATAACTATTGTAGAAAAACTAAATATCATCTGAGCTATTCTTTAGAAAATATCTCTTATTCTACTAAAGGAAACTTAAATTATATTGCTAATATATTTAAGAATTATAAAATAGTTATTTGAAAATAAAAATTTATTTTTTATTTTCGTAGATAAGGATAGAAGCAGATATTACATACAGCAGCTATGTCAAATGCCCATCTATCAGGGGCTGTCATATTTTTTCTACTTAATTCCCTGGACTGTGAATCAATATTTAAAGAATCACCACTTAAATATTCTGTCCAAATTTCTTGGGCTTTATCAGGAACTTCTCGTTGTGGTAGCTTTTTGAGATTTTGAACAGCCTCCCAAAATCTGAACAAAAAGAAAAAATTATTTCTAACAATGACAATACTGTTGTACAATATAATTTATTTAAAAAATACAGACTAGTTAAGTAATTTAAGGATTATTTATAATAACTAATGTGCAGTCATCAGTACTCATTTTAAGTAAAATTATACTTCTATACACCTGAAGTACACTACTAATCAACCTTTATTTAACTGCTTTGACTATAATAATTACTATTCTATTTTCAAACTATACTATACCATAATATTAAAAAAATATTTTCAAAGATAAATGGATTAATAAAGACCTCTAGAATAACTTATTGACAATAATGTTAAGATAAAACTAATATAATTACGAAAGTTAATAAAATTAAATACTTTAAATTTTCACAGCTAAATTCTTTTTCCAGAAATTTAGTAAAGTGTTCTTTACCAGCAGGATCAGCCAAAAGTTCCTTTAAGCTGAATGCCCATCTTTTAATTCTACGAACAGTTACTTCTTTTCTAAAAAAAATCAAGTTAAAATTAAAATGATCTATTATATAATCTTAAAATTTTATTTATTTGAATAAAACTAGATTTTTCTAAATTACATATTTTGGAGGGACAGTGTGGCCGAGTCGGTAACGCAGCAGTACATGACGGGCACTGCCTCAGGTTCGAAACTCAGTCAAGGGCCCTTTCATTTGCTAAATGAGGGATCAGTTTAGTAATTGGAGTCGTGATTCCTCTTTCCGGCGACGGACTAACCACCCGTCCCAGAGTATCAATGGTTTAGAAACCTCCTCCTTTAGGGGTGGCCGCTATGGCCCTTAATGGGTTTATAAAACGTTAAAAAAAACATATTTTAGACAATAGAGACATAGTTATTTATGTCCTTATTAAATCTACGTATAGATTTAATTTTAATTTTTAACTAGATATTATCAAATAAAATTGTATTAAAATAGAGATATCACCTAAATAGCTCTTAATAAATGTTCAAATGTCCTTAATACATTTGATTACTTATCCTATTACTTCAATTACTTATATAGCTATCAAAAAATATTTAAATTATATTATAATAAATTTACATCTATTTAAATAAACTCAATTAAATTGTGTATATATATATATATATTTATAAACATATAGTAAATTTTTTCTATGATTTTTATCAAATGAAATGTGTATAAAGACTTACAAATTTTTATCTACATCCCATACTTCAATATTATCCAGCAACCAAGGATTTGTAAATTCTGGAGGAGTAAAAAAAGGATCGTATTCTGCATACTGTTCAAAATAAGTTATATACCTAGAAAATTATTTTTTAATTCATAATTATTTTATGCAAGGTGATCAATCTTAAAAATATTAAATGACTTGTAAATTAAAAATTATTATGACTAAAAAAAGTTAAAATAATTTTTTTTAATTTTATTATTTTAAGAAATATCAATTTATCTATAATACATGAAACCCTATATATAAAACTGAATTGATTTTTTTATTAATGTATGTCATTTATTAATTATAAACTTTTGGTAGTAACTTATCTTCCTAAACTTCAATAGTTATTTCAATAAACTTTTATTTTATAAATATTATATTAAATTCTTAAATAAGTAATTTTTGTACTTAAAAACTTTAAAATAGAAATGGCACAACTTCTTAATCTAAAAATTTTAACATACGTATCTGCTATTTTTGATAACTTTATATTTCGGCGATCGAGTTTTAATCGCATAGCAGTTATATCCTTTTTCAAAGACTCAACAGTTGGTTTATTTACACACTGTTTAGTAGGAACTTGAATTGATATCATATTATTAATATCACCATTGGCTAATGAAATTAAGTCTTTGTATCTTTTTAATTTTCTATAATCAATTTCTGTGGTTATGACAGTCCCAGGCTAAAATATTAATTAATAAATTAAAATTTATCATCAAAAGATGGTCTTGATGGTAAATAATATATACCATTGGTCTATGAACATCCCAAAAAGCCCTTTCTTGACTATCTAGTACTTTTCTTTCCATGCGATCACGTTTTTTATCAACTTTACTCTGAGCTTCAGCTTGCATAAACACAAATTCCCACTTTTTAGACAATACTGTCTGCAATTTAGCTAAATTTTCAGCCTCGTAATCAGCTAATTCCAAACGTGTTTTATTTTGCATTGTTCTTTTACATAAATAAACAGCTTAAAAACGAAATCACATTTTTTAATTAGTTTAGATTAAAAGCTAACAATTATTATTTTATAAAATTTTTTCATTTACCATAGTCTGTATTTTCTGGTTCAAATATATTAGAAGGCCAAAAATAAGGAGTCTGTAACAATTATTTTACAATAATAAAATTATTTGTAAAAGTGAAATAACAATAAATTCTATTTACTTGAAATCTGTAATAGGACCCATCATTCTTAACATTCAAGAAATGATCATCAATTGGAAATAAGTAACCATGAGAAGCCAATAAATTAGCTAGGTATAATGCTTCAACTAAAAATATATCACAAAAAAAAAAAATTTTTAAATACAAAATGATTAATGACCAAAAAGTATTTCTTAATTAACATATACAATATTTAATAAAACATTATTATGATAAATATCACTAATGAAATGCTCAATCTTAAAAGATCAATAGAAATAGAAATATTGTTACAAATAATTGAGGTTAGGCAATTGATGTACTTAAAACTTACACTTAATGTACTAGAAATTTTTAATAATGCTTTAAAAAAATGTCTTTATAACCTAAATTTTTAGTATTAAAATGACTTTAAAACTTGAAATTTAGTTTTTTAGAAAAATATAAACTCTTAGAACACTAAAATTACATTTTAAATCTGTGAAAAAATAAATTAACAAATATTTAATTTCCTAGATAATATTATTTTTTATAATATTAAGATAATGGTTTTTTAAAGTTATTATAATATATAATATTATATAGTCAGTGTAGGATCAATCAAAGGAACATATTAATCAAAAAAATGTTTTATTTTTTTAATCTGGATTATTTAGTTTTTTTTATACATTTGATTGTTATAATAGTAGAACTCTTCGAGTGGGAAGTTATAACTTAAGTCCAAGTATTTCTAAAGTTGAATGTTATAAAAAAAAATCCAACTAAAATAATTGCATAAAATTATCTAAAAAAATTTTTTTGGTTAATACATTCCTTTTATACTATATCAATGTTATTAGGTTTTTACAATTTTTTCTATAAATTATTTTTGTTAAAGGTTATTTGGATTGTTTTAAAGTATTTTATAGTAGATGTTCAAACATAGTTTACAATACTATAACCCTAATTAGCTATCCCATGATTTTGCCTTAAAATCAATTTAGTAGATCTATAAATTTATTTTCAGATATTATTTTATTAAGCATAATTCAACCAAAATAATTTGACTTAGAAGAAACCTAATATTTGAAGAAAATAAAATTGTTTAAATTATAACTAAGAAAATGCTAATAAATAAATATATGTAAAGTAAATAGTGAATAATTTATTCAAAACTTAGAAAAAAAATCTTTCTTTTAAATATTTGTATGCTGAAAAGATGTATAGTCAAAAAATTTTAAAATGTGCAACATTTTATTAAAATACAAAAATTGTATTTATTTGCAAAAAATCATTAATAAATACACTAAAAAAATTGTATTTGAACTTTGAGATGTAAGAAACAGATTTTGAATTGATGAGCTACGTACTACAATAATATGTAAAAGTTGCAAATGCTACATATTCCTAGCCTTACAAATAATTTTTGAGGATAATATACAGGACTTGAAGCAAAGAGACTGTAAAGTGACTAAATCACTATTTTGACAGCACTTAACAAACATTTACTATACATCAACTGTTAAATATTTATTCAAACTTATATGAATATTATCTATATATTTAGAACGATAAAAATGATAAAGGAACCATAAACCCCTTATATTCACATAGTTTATTGAAGTAAATACTAATAGTTTTAAAATACTTTGCAAGTAAAACTGATATACCATCAGCAATGTTTTCTACAAGGAAATATAATGAATAACTAATTATAAATTACCTTGATCATCAACGTCCAGATTATTCATAATCCATTGTATTAAATCACAACCTAATAAAAATAAATAAATAAGTATTTTTTGAATAATATGTAATATCTTTTAATTAACCTGTAAACACTGATGGCACTTTAGCACGAAATTTATTTACAGTACGTACAAGAATGCCTGTGTTTTCATCTTGCATACGATCCATCAACTGTTCCATCTAATAATGTAATAATACTGAAAATATTAATGAATACAGAACATAATAATTATTCTGTTATTACTTTCTTGTAGACTAGTTGATGTTGTGATACATTGTCCAAGTCCGTCATGGAGGCTGCTGTAAGAGAAACAGTTGGAGTATCAACAAATTTGCCATCACCTTTTTGTTTCTTCCGCCTAGATGACCGTTCAGAGCCAATAATCAAGCTAATTAAATATCGCAAGTCAAATATAATAATATAATTTCAGCTAAGAATATAAGTTATTCATATATTTTGCCCACGAAAATAAGAGCAGGAAAATAAACATAAATAAATAGTAACATACCTTTGTCCCATGGCTTTAAATATGTAGGAACATAATATCCCTATTGGTTTTAGTAGAACAATTAACATCTATGTAGTGCGAATATTATAACTGTTGCATTCATAAGGGCGATAAACTTGGGTATTAATCGTTGTACTGGCACTGAATTTGTGCAGCACAACTTATGGCAATGTGCAGTTGCAGAGAGTGAATGTAGCAACTGGCAATTGAAATGGGACTCGAGAAAAGTATAAAAAACAACGAACCATTAACATTACAGTTGCAGGAGTATCCACTGGCGGGCGGATGGGCTAATTTTAAATCAATATTGAACTCGGCGCCGACGTGTAACGCCTAAGATCAACGGGCTAGTACTAAATGTTCCTCGATCCCTTTGACACCGACACGACTGTTGTACCCCACCACTATATCCTGTATACTTAAATAATAGTTGAATGGTACATTTGTTCATTAAACTATCTAAAAGTTTAATAAGAGAAAAATATTTTTTTAATTTAATGCATAATGCTGGCTTCTAATTTATCGGGTCAAAATGTAATATTTCAGTAGTTATGAATTTACTAATTATAACATCATAATTTATTTTTATCTAAGCATTAAATTTACAAGCTTAGATCAAAACTACTAAAAAATGTCAACCCCTTAATAGGTGACTTAAGGGATTTAATCCCTGAATAACTTTATAACAATATTAACTTATGTGCGGGTTAATATTATTATTTTCATACGTATATACATACATTTTAGCTTCGATGCGAAGCTCAGAAGGTATTGGTTTTACTAAGATGTGTTTTTTTTTTTGTGTGTCTGTTACCCCTTTTTCTCAGCTCTCACCGANTTTTTTTTTGTGTCTGTTACCACTTTTTCTCAGCTCTCACCGAACCGATTTCTTTCAATGATACGTCAAAAGATCACAAATCGTATCTAGTCGAAGACATTACCCTCAAAAATTGAAAAAAATTCCCTCGTTCCCCGTAAATGGGGGAAACCTCCGAAAAAATTACAAATTTAAAAATGGCTAATTTTCGAAATTTTCGAAATTTTTTTTACTAAAAACTGCCGTAACGTTTTTAAAAATAACCAAATCAATATAACTTTTTTTTATATAGATGCATGATATCATTACCTTTCATTTGGTATATTTTTTTTTTGTATGTGACCCTTTACTTGCCCACATGAGGGGATTTAAAATGACAACTTTTTTACAAAAAATTAATTTTTTCAACTTGATTTTTAAAAATGTTCCGGAAGGTCTGACACTTTTATATATATCTTAAATTGAAGCAAATGTAATATGCTTTATCATGAAAAAAAAAAATTTCGGACTTTATCTTATCTTCATGGTGAAAATGGCTACCGAATGCTATTTTTGTGTGAAAATTTTCGATTTTGTATTTTCCATTTTTAACTTTATTATGCTATAACTTTTTGAAAAATGTATGAATCATTACAATTTTTTTATGAGAAGTAGTATTTATATAGATCTTTCATTCGACATACTGTTTTTTTAAATCGGACCATTTCCCTAAATACAGGGGGGATTCAAAACATAAAAATGCATATAGAAAGTAGAACTTTTTCAACGTAACTTTTGAAAGTGTTCCGGAAGGTCTGACACTTTTATATATATCTTAAATTAAAGCTAATGTAATATACTTTATAATGGTAAAAAAAAATTTCGGACTTTATTTTATCTTCATGGTGAAAACAGACATTAAACTTAATAAAAAAAATACGATTTTTGTAAAAAAATTCTTTTTTATATTTTTAACTTTATAATGCTATAACTTTTTGAAAGATGTATGGATCAATATAATTATTTTTTTTGTAGATGCACGATGTCTTTACCTATCATTTGGTATATTTTTTTATATATATCTTAAAATAAAGCTACTACAGGGGGGGATTCAAAATGACAACTTTTTCACAAAAAATTGACTTTTTCAACTTAAATTTTGAAAGTGTTCCGGAAAGTCTGACACTTTTATATATATCTTAAATTAAAGCTAATGTAATATACTTTATCATGGAAAAAAAAAATTTCGGACTTTATTTTATCTTCAAGGTGAAAATGGCTACCAAATGCTATTATTGTGTGAAAATTCTCAATTTTATTTTTTACATTTTTAACATTATAATGCTATAACTTATTGAAAAGTGTATTGATCAATATAATTTTTTTATGGGAAATACTATTTTCTAATAATCTCTTTTTTATTCGACATACTTTGTCTTAATCAGGATATTAATAAGGAACTAGCAGTTTATGAAGCTTTTGGAATAATCCACCAATTTTTTAAAATTAAACACTATCTAAAGATTTGCATCGAAGCGTTTTTTTTTGATAGTGATTTTAATCACTGTCAGATATCATTATACTTGATCCAACTATGCCACGTCACCACTGTGCCGCGACCCCCCTGTGCTGGGTTTGGTTTTTTATTTATTTTGAACTTTCAATAACCTATTCCTTTTTTTAGGCAGATTAGTATATTAATTATGGTAGCAGTAAAATATATAATAAATTAAAAAAGTCGTCGTACCAACTATAATTTTATAAATAGCTTCAAAATGTTCATTAAATAAATTGTTTAAGATCAATACTTTTTAATTTATTCTTAGTTAATATAGTAAGGTAGGCAACTAATTAAACATACGGGAGTGTAAAAATAATCAAACAAAACACTGTTGTTTTCTGAATCTCGTATCACTATTAGACCTAATTATTTTATTCCTTTAAATAAAAATATTACTTGTTTAAATAAATTTTAATTGTTCTTTAATTACTAGATGGAAATACTTAATAAAACACTTTATTTATGCCCATTAGTACTTAAATCAATTTTAGTCATAAATTTATGATATAAAATTGCAAAATCTATGTTTTATGATTAATATAGTACTTGCTAATTGATACTATTAATCATTCCATTTAAATAGGAATGACTAATAGTATTTTAAACCCATAGAAGTCTTCAAATTTTTCCACGCCAAGAGTCTCACGAGCTTAAGGGGCCCATCTTGAATTTTATTAGCCTAATCATGATTAGTGACAATTTTTTTTTTTTGCTCATCACTTTTTTATGGTAGTGGTATTTTTTATAGGTGAGCCCATCTTATGGTACCATCCCGAGAGCCATATAGGTCTAAATCTGACCCTGCGTGTGAAAAAGCCAAAATAAGAGCTATATTTTTCTTAAATGACGATCATGGTATCAATATTACCGTAATCATAATATTAAAATTAATATAGTTACTATAAAATAAATAATTTTTTAGAATATTTTTCTTGAATACTAATAGAATATTATAATTAATTTCTATTTAATTAAAAAAAATGTATTGTTTTAATAAACTATTTCTATTTCATTAAATTACATAAAGTTAAAAGTAAATTCTTATAAGATAAAATATTACTGGAAGGTTAAGAGACTCAATATTTTGACAAGGTCATTTTCTTTAATACATCTATTTTTTTTTTTTTGACTAACCAGTCTTTACATATAATAAATGATTTCAATTAGTTACAGAATGGCCAACTTGTTAAAAATAACTATTTAATTTGAATTCGAGTTATAAGCATTCCAATTAAATTAAATACAAAAATAAATTACGCTTATAATTAAAATATATACACATGTTTATGTTATAATTAAAACGAAACGTTTTTTTATGATAAATTTAACAATTATATGGTATAAATATTTATAATTTTTTTAACTACTTTATAATTACATAAAATGAAAAATATTGTCATATTTAATCCTAATAATAATCATTTTTCATTGAGTTTACAAAAGTTTAGTTGTAAAACATTTCGAAATGTTGTAAATCTCACAAATTAATTTTACGAAGTTATTATTATAGCAATACGCCGCTGTAAATTAATCTTCTTAATTTTTTTAATTAATAGCTTTACTTGTATTAAACAATAAACAAGTTCGGATAGGTTAGGTGAGTTGTCAAGAAAATCTCGGTAAGCTTTTTGTTGCATTTAAATTTTAAATTTTGCAATGTGCAAAATATTTAGCTCAAGAATAACGTCTTTCCGTTCTCAATCAACTTTTTAACAAATTCTTTCAAGCTTGCAATAGTATTTTTAATACATATACCTGACTTTCAACAAATTTTATGACACCCAAACAAAATCAAAGAAATATAATTGACTATATAAAAATAATTTATTGATAAATAAATTTATTAATTTTGGAGTTATTTATCATATTTAATTGAATTTATTTATTTAAATGGCATTAGTTTTTTTATTGAAGATCTTTTTTTAATATAAAAGTTTACTGGTATAAATAACATTATATCCCTCCAGAAAGATGTTGGTCAAGATAAACTCCTATCCACATATTATTAGAACATTCGGGTTCATAAATTTGTATTTTTATAAAAAATATACTTTGTAGAAAAATTATTGTAAGTTTTGAAAGTTGTTGTGACTTTCATAAATAGTAATGTTTAAGAATATTTAATAAATCAGTGATTTAATTCAATTATTTAGAAGTATCGAACAAATTTTAATGTTACACTGACAAATAGTTTGAATATGATTAATCAAATTCATTGATTTGACAATGTTTCATAAATTAATGCAAAAAATTTGTCGTCAACATGCATTTTGTATGAATAAGCATAATTTAACACATTGTAGGTAATAATAAGTTCGAAATGCATTAGGTAGAGTTTTGTTAACTAATACGTATTTAAATGTAAACATCTTGTAACGTTTATAAAAGACATAAAAACGCTTGTTTTGCAGATTTCAGTGTTTATTGAATCTACCGTATATTAACGTGTATACTTTTAAATAGCAGTCTTAACATTTAAAGTTAATGAGATTTTCTTATCATAATTATATAAAATTAAGTATGTGAATTTATATATTTACTGTATAAAAATGTACAAAATTATCATTATCAGATATGTAGATTTTTAACTGTCTGAAGTAATACTTCCATAAATATAAAAATATAGTTTAAAAATACATTTGAAATTTTATTTATAATTATCATAAATCAAGTATTTTATATTTTAATTAGTGTTAAATATTAAGTTTCATACATAAGTATTAAATGCTACATGAAATAAAACGGCAAGCAAGCAGGTAAGTTTACATGCCAAACGCATGACTTACATTTTAGTCATGTATAGAAAAGTATTAAACATTTTTAAAATATTAGGTAACACCATTTAATTGTTAATCAGTTACTTTCAGTTAATATCACTATTTTGTTTGAGAATTATTCTGAGTTTTGTATTTAATCTTAATCAATTATCGTAATAAAATTCAATAATATCAGGTCCTTTTATGTTAATTTTAATACTTCCTGCGTAAAGGATAACTAATTAATAAATACAAATATATATATATTTATATATAAGTATATATGTATATGTATACATTTTTTTATAGCGGAATAATGTATTTTAAAAACATTTAAGGTCATATAGTTAAAGTATTGACCATTCATTTTATTCAAGTTCCATAATTCAAAATCCTTGTCAGTAATTTTTCGTTTAAAAAAAAGAAATATGCATCTGTGTCATTAAAAAATATATCTACTTACTATAAAAATAATTTATATTTTATCGTCAGTATTAAATATGTTTGTGAATGTAATAATTTGAATATAGTCATAAACATTGAATGACTGTAGGTCATTAGAACTTACTTTTAGTGATTTTTTAATTAATCATTATAACAACTTTAAAACATAATATAAATAGTTTGATTACATATACGCAGATTTAAATCATAATAAATAGTTGAACGAAACGTGAATCAAAACTGCGCATGACCAAAATTATATTGTTGCATTGAAAATTCACAGTATTTGACAAAACATCTTAAAACAAGATGTATAATTTTATTTGACCTTGAAGTTCATAAATTATATTTAATGTTATTTTTGAGATCTTCAAAAAAAATCGTAAGAATTTATTCGTCGAAACTATCTAATTTCCTCAAGACATTTTTATATTATATGTGCATTTTAGTTTTTAACGTGTCTGATATAATAATTGACACAATTGGTAAACTACTATGATCAAGGACAATAATTCAATGATTGATTAAATCATAGACAACTGCCGCTTATTTCAATAAAGCAAGGGTATTTAGATTTGTTAAAAAAATCCTTGGTTAATTTCAATTGTATTAATTTTGGTAAGATATTTTGAATAAAATTACTATTTATACATTGTATAACCGATTCAACACTTTTGCGTCTTTTTAAATAAGTATGTCTTAGGAATTTTTCCTAAAAATTCGAAAGTGCAAACTTTTTTATAACATCTAAAAAAAATGCTTAACATTTTTATCATTCAAAAGACTTTTCGTTTTTTTTTTAGTAGATGATAGTTTATAAAGGATGCGCGCATTCTCTGTGCCTTTTTCCTGGATCCGCAACTATTATGTAACCTTTTACATAAGTACTTTGCTGTAATTATTTTTGCTCTTCCTTTGAAATAAAACTAATTTATCTATTTTATTATAAGCCGGGTGTAAGTGGCAACATAATCCAGAAGAAATTATTATCTCAATACCATTTTAAACGTTTCATATATTAATACAATTACTCACTTTTCTAAAATAATTAAAGAGAAGCTTGTCAAACATTGAAAGAAATTGGGGAACTGAGTCCTCTTAAACCTTTCAATATCAAGCCCTGACTATAACTATGATAATTACAAATGAAGTTTGCTATCAAATTTATGATTCTACAAAAATTAAATCGATATGTTGAAAATATAGCTCTTAATATACTAAATGAATATAATTTTTTTCTATAATTAAAGATTGACTTTTGTTTTTAATTTAAATCGATTTAATCCAATTTTTGAATAATGTTTCCCGTCAAAAACAAATGATATATTAAAAATCTAGATACCCTAACTAAAATAAATGTGGATTAAATCAGGAGTGCTGGAACTATTTTTTACACGAGAAAGAAAAAATTTTATTGCTAAAAAATAAGATAATGCTTAGTGATACTTATTACTGTAATCAATTAACTCAGTGACAATTTGATTATAATTTATGTGTATTAATCAATATCAAATTATAAAATACTAACGTAAAAGAAACTTGGATGCATTAAACATTTCTTATTTTTTTTTATAAAAAACATTGTTTAAATGTTCATGTTTTTTCTGTTGTGTATAAAATAAAAATATATAAATAATTATGGTTTAACATAATTGTATACAAATATTTTTATACGAATTATTTATGTTACCTTCAAAAACCGAGTTTGTAAGTGCAATTATTTTTTAGATTAATGAAAAACACTCCAGATTAATTAAATTTTAAAATTAAAAATTCAAATAAATAATTTTAAATCATCGCTAAAATTGTGTAAATAAACAAGTAACAAATAACTTTTCTATAAGATAGAATTAAATGAAGTTTATAAATAACATTTCTTAAATTTTTTTATTATTAATTGAAAAATTAAAAAATTTTCTTTAAGTTACGCCAGGAAAGTTCTATAAGACACAAAGTTTAAGAAATAAATTCAATAAAATTTTAAGCCATTGTTATATTTCTAATGGTTTATGAATGTGGTATTTAAAATATAAATTTTGTATTATTGTGTATTATACATGTGTATTATTACATGTTTAAGCTCAATCTCAAATTGGTATTCCATATATTGATATATTTTTTAAATATAAAGATTGTTTTTGTATATTTTGTCATTTAAGATTACTCGGGATTAAAAAAAATTTGTAATTTCAAAGATGCATTACTGGTTAAATTAATTAATACAATTAAACTATAATTCAACTTACAATTTTGATACGGATACTATATTTGAGCAAAAAGATTGACCTAGTAAAAAAAAGTAATCGGATGCAATGTTATTCTTGAGTTCATTGACATCTGAACTTTATTGTTTATCTTATTTTATTACATTATTTAATATTAATTAATTTAAAATATGTATACCCATATTAATATAATATAAGTAACGTTAATTTTTTTCCTATTTATAAGTATAAAAATTTTCTCAATATAAAAATACGAAATAATACAAAAAACTTGTATCATACATCAGGTAATTTAAAAAAAAATGAGCTTTTGATATTTTTTATCATATGCATAAAGAAAAACATTTTATTTTATAAGTTTTTTTATTATTTCATATGCGAAAAAATCTAATTTATTGACAACTAGAATAATTAAGTAAATTCACCAACTTCAATCAAGAACCTCAAAAAAGGTCCATAATTTCTACATATGAACATTCATGTTCAAAGTTAGAGTTTTTAAATAATAAACAAAAAAATTATATTTTATATATTAAACTTAAACATTTTCTAAATCAATTATTTTTTGCATTAAAGCTTTTTATATCTAAGCATGTCACAGGTATAATTTGAAAATATTTTATTATTTTAAACAAAATAATTCAACTTTTAGAAGAACTCTGTTGTTGTTTAATTTTATTACCATGGTTTACATGACTTCCATTTTGCAGAATTACCATGATAATGACATTTTTATTTTAAATGTATTATTCTCATCTATATAGATGTATAACATAATATTTTATACATTATACCAAGTACATTAATTATACATTGTATTGTATCTATTTTCACTTAACTTTGCTTAGTTTGGACGTATATTTCACTTTCTAAAGGCGTACTTCAATAACATATTCTTGTAATTTCCAGCTTTTACATTTTTATAGTGTACTTTTAAAAACAAAAGGTTCCTTAAAATAATGATACGTGTACTGTGTAAAAATATAAAAAAATAATGATTTTAATATTTAATATAAATGTATTTCTGTATTTTTTGGTTACTTTAATGATATATACATTAATTACACCAATTATATCAATTGGTGTAATTTTGATAAATTTCTTTTTAACTTTTGGTAATGTTAGTATCAAAAATTTTCGTTAAAAATGAAGCAAAATAATATTACTGCACATCGAATAAATAAGAAATTTATTAAATTTATTTTTATTAATTAACGATTATTTTAAAAGAACAAAATAATTTGATAATAAAATATATATTTTTTAAATTTGATTAATTTTTCTTAATAGTTTTTAATAGTCAATAGGTATAAATATTATTTTTCTTCGTTAATGTTAAAATAATTTTCTTTACACTTGTTCGAATAAAATAAAATTTTTTAGTTATATTTAGTTATATGAGAATTTTATAATTTAACGCAATAGACTTTTCATCCGGTAGTTTTTACTTTATGAAAACTATCAAATAATTTCTCAAATAGTTTAATATCCCAAAAATACAGTTAGGGTTAGTTTTAATCGAATGATTAATTGATCATTTTTCGTAAATTCGGTATTTAAAACTTTTCGATAGCGTACATTAATGGATAACACATATATTTAATTTTCAAAGCTTTATCCTGCTACTGCGGTTATTCCGGTTACCTGATATCAAGAGAAAAAAATAATCACGCATTAATCTAGAATACAGTAAAAACTACCAAAGCAAGTTCATTTTTCACTTGGTTTTATAAATAGTTATTGACGCGTTGATATGGAAAAAGTACTAAGTCCAAAAAATCAATTTTTCGTATTTTTTTTGTAGAAAACATAGTGAATTTTAATTATCTGGTGAAAAAAAATTAAGTTTATTTATAAAATAAGAATTATTTTGAAAACAAATATATTTTTATCGTAAAGCCACGCGGTTTAGATAAATTATTTTTTTCTTCTCCTATAAAATTTAATTTTTGTAACTCTGTACCTTTTCCATGTCAGACCCTCAATTGTACATCAACCAAGTATTTGTATATATAGTCATTTTGCGATACAATACTTAATTCGAACTGTATATATTTCCCCATGAGTAATACAAATGGCAGTTCGTAGTGGGGCAAACGAAGCGACATTAGCACAACAAACCAGTTCATTCAACGGAACCACACCACAATACCGGCAAACGTTCGTAGATGCTGTACGCATCGCCTTACCGTAGTGTGCTTATTGTCGTTGTTTGGTTATCAGTTTTCGTATTATTATCATATGTCGCTCGGTCAATACAAATAAACTTTATCCAGACTTGACTGTCTTTACTTAATCTCATATATTTTCTTGGAAGTACGGTCAATTAGACACCATGACTGTGCTAACGAGTGACGATAAAACGCCAATGAATCGCGTTAAAAGTACTGTGTCTTTTGCTGCTATGCTCGAAGAAACCATGAACATTAACGACGGTGATCACAGCGAAGAAGAAGTTTGTGAACTCATACCCGAAGAATCGCCAGGGAGGACAAGAGTTTTTAGCATGTCCAAGGATCGTCCTATCACGAGAATTCCGACTAGGGTGGAAATGAAAACTTTAACCCATAAAGCTAAGAGACCGGCCGTTGACATTGAATTTCACGATTTAATTTACACTGTGGATACTACAGCAGGTATGTTAAACAATAGTTTTACATTAACGGTACCCAATACGCACCATCTGAAAAAATTGTGTGGCCTAAACTAGATTGTATAATTTATAATCAAAACTTTATTAGTTTAAAAAAAAATAACAAAATAATAAATATTTTATATATTTTTATAGTTACGTAATAAATATATTTTATACAGTTTATTGTCTATATTTTTAAATATAATAATAATTAAATTTGTTTATTAATCACTAGGGTTCTGGATTTTATGTATTTTTAAATTTGTTTGAACCACTTCTGAAACACCAGACTCCATGAAAAAACAGTTCTACAGGAACTTTTTTGTTTTAAAAGGGATGGAATTTCTCACGACTCCCCTAAAATAAATATACAAATATTAGAATTAAGGAAAACAAAAACTTATATATATATATATTTACTTCTAATAAACTCGAGATGACTAAACTAAACTTTATGAATGCATAAAGTCTTGAACTCTGTTAATCATTATTAAATAGTATGACTTTTATATAAACATTCTAGTTGAAACCGCTTTAAAAAATTCTACAAAAATATAATGCTTTTGGAAAGCTTCAGATTAATTATAAATCAGAAAGACTTGATGGACTTAACCCAAAAATGAATTTTCTTAAATTTTTTGGCGCAAATAACAAACATTTTTCGTAAAGATTGAAAAGAAATATTCTTATGTTCATATGATCATAGAACTATTTTTTTAGTTACCACATCTAAATTTACTACAAAATTCAAATATATATTCTAAAACCGTTACGCCCTCATTATTTTACCTTACATTCTTTATCAAATCTAGATTTATTATCACCCGTAACAATAAACACCATTTGAATGGTTTCATTAGGAATGGTTTGATTATTTAATATCTCAAAATGAATTAAAACCATAATTTAAGTTTTTTCTACTAAATAATTGTTGGTACTGGTTTATAATAATTTTGTTTAAGTCGATAAATTTATTTAGGTAGTAACAATATTTACCTAAAATAACATATAAAGCGCCATATAAAACTTGGTACCTAGTGTCAGTGTTTCCATTGCGTTTTAACAACAAAGCTTTAGCTTCAATCAATCGTTTTACTAGATATTGGGTTTATTTATTAACAATCATTTATGACTAGTGATTTTATGTTAACTGTTAATTAAATTTATTAATGTTACATTTTCATATATTCAAGATATTCGCGTAAATATTACAAAGATAGGATAAACTATTAGCTATAAATAGTTTGGTTATATTTTTCTTCTAAAAGAGAAATTGCAAATGTTAGATGCTTGACATATAGCTAAAAGAATAATATTTGTATTCTTTTCAATTCAACTATTGTTATTTTTTTCAGCATGATACCTGTATATAACATTTATTATAAAGGGCAATATATTATTGTGTAACACTAAATTTTTAAAAATCTAAAATTAATCTCTTTTACATTTTATTTAGTTTTTCTTTAAGGAAAATAATATATCGAGTAAGTTTCAAAACATTCTTGTGTTATTGTTATATCTTTTTCTCTTTTTACCATAAAACATTCCAAGTGCATGTTAATTACTTATTTATCTTTATAGCATCACTTATACATATGATCTTAATCCATTAATTCTTGTACATTACTCATAATTAACTATTACGATGTCTTAGGTAATATTTAGGAATGTGGAAAAGTTAAATTAATAGAACATCTATTAATTATTTGCATTTTCTACATCACTGCTGAATATAATACATTTTCCCTTCATTTATTCTTTCTGTTTCACAATACAAAGAAAATTATTATTCTATTGAAACAATTACAATGAATAAATATCATCAATACATATAAGTAATTAGAAAATAGTAATACAATAATTAAATACGAATGAATATAAATCTTCATTAAAATAAATGTAGAGAGTTAATATTTATTAAGTACTTTACATTGTAACAATTATGTAAAATGAATCAAATATATTAAATAATTAAAAGATCGTCAAAGTCTATTATAAGAAAATAAGTTCAATTATCAGAAAATCACTTTCTATTACTTTTGATTTGAAAAAAATTAATGTACTTTAGTGCCAAAAATGTTGTTAGATTTAATTATTATAAATTGATTTCTTCCACTATCAAAAAATATCCTCCTGTTATTTGTGACAATATTTTAATCAATTGTTTTTACTGGAAACTTTTAATATGTGGACTTTTCTGATGTATGCTAAGAGCTAATTTATTCAGAAAATCAAAATGTAATTGTATACAAATAACTTAAACTAATATTAGTTAATAATATTAACTTTTTTTCAACCATCTTAACATATTATATTATCCTTATCAAACAATATTATGAATTTATCATATTTTGGAAAAATTTTGTGTTCTGATTCATTATTAATGAATTTTATTTGTAATAACCAAAATTTTACTTATGACGTATAGTTTGTATAGAAATAACTGATAGTTAGTAAATATTAATGAGATTATGTAGTAATAATAATGACGAACTGACCCGGATTGACGGAATATAATTACCATCAAATATGAATTCAACTAAGTGTTAACAATAGCCATTCTTCTTTTAACATAACATTTATTAATGGCGACGCCATAATAAACTTGTATCATAATTTTTTGTTTTCTTCCGTAACTTTAAGATCAATAAAAAAAATATATAAGAAATAAAAACTAATTGGTCTTAGAACTTCATTTTAATTATATGTTAATTTAAAATTATGCTTAAAAATAATTTATGCATATACCTGTTAATTCAATACTAACGTCACAATTTTGTTTAATAATAGCAATTTTATAGACAAAACACGATTAAAAATTATAAAGTAATTTGCTTTAAAACATTTAGTAACATCTTAAATTAATAAAATAATAAAAAAAAAATATATAATTCTACAAAAAAAATTACAGAAATAATCATAATTTTAATTGATCCACAAATAATAATTATTCTAGTGAAATTTTATTGTAAAGTAACAAGTAATGATTTATAACAAACTTTATACTTAAGAATTTTTTGGAGATGCAATATTTTTGAAATCATTAATGCTTTAAGGATATTTTAGAATGATTAATAAATGTAAACTTTCGAATTTAAAAAATTTGAAAAATTTATCCTTCATGGCAATTAGAATTTAATACAATTTTCTATGATCAGTATAGATATTGGATTTAAAAAAACCCGGGTATCAATAGGATCATCCCTAAAATCGTATAGAGGTGTCAACTATATTTTTTTAAATGACAACATATATAATTAACTAGCTAATAAAATAGGAAATAATCAGACTAATAATTATAATAATACATTTATTATTATAAATCTAGTAATAAATAAAGTTTTGTACACCCCAAAAGGTAAAAGTACAATTTCACACCGGACAATAAGTGATATACTTTTTATTAGACTGGTGTAAAGCAAAAAGAGGGTTATATATAGAATTATCAAAGGAAACTATAATATAAATTTTGCTAGTATTTCAGGACAAACGATAATTCCATTCATAAGTCTTTGTAAACAAATATAGCATCAAAACTGATCGTTTTATTTTAAGTGACTTTAAACCTGCAAATTTCCAATTAAGAAAATAAATGGTCGATAACAACTTTTGTATTAGTACTTTGGAAGTTATTCTCCTTTTTATACCTAGACGGATACTCTTCATCCCTTCTAGGTGTGAAGAAGAGTACAACCGGAAAATAATTATTGATAAAAATAGCAACTCCTCACCTACAGTTATTACTTTAAATTATTAATAATTTCTGAGATACTGGTCTTAAAGTTGTTTTCTACTTTTATCATCACGTTTACCAAATATTTTTTCATCGTGTTTATTTATTTGACTAAATAGTTTCATTCACATTATACTATATTTTATACTGTAACATATGTAGATAGCTTTTTATTTATTTATTATTTATCTTTATAAATAATCATTACATAATTTATTATCATTTTAGTATACTCAAGATATAGACTTGATATGAACTTGTAATATATTCCAAATAATTAAGATACAAAAAATATAAATTTAAATTATTGTCTTATCAGATCTTAAATATATTGTTATGGATAGATTAAATTATTATTTATTTTTTTACATATTGTTTATTTATAGTAATGAATAAACTAAAGTAAAGTCATTGGAATGATTTTTTTAACATGACAACTGGTGAAATGTTTGATACGATAAAAGTTTAAAATTAAAAATGAATTATTAATAACAACTTTTTTTTAAAAAAAGAAACGAATATTATAATAAAATATCACATTTATAGAATTTAAACGTACAGAAGAATAAATAAATGAGAAAATAATGATTCGTTGATTAAGTTATAGCCCCTAAACATTAGCGACGTCATTTGGTTTTTTTTATAAGTTAGTCTTACAATAGATGCCAGTTGTGGTTTTTGAAGTCATTTAGTTTCTCAATTTAGACTGCTGATTAGTTATATATGTAAGTGTGTGTATATATAGAGTGATCGATTAATAATAAGACACTGATTTTCTTAGAATCTATTAAGAATTTTTAATTTTTGTACAGAGAAAAAATATTTAATACACCAAAACTCTCCAATAATTTGTAGTTAAATAATTTTTTTTAACACTTCAGAAATAAAAAAACTTTAACTTTAATTTTAATTTTAATTTTCTTAAATGAAAACCACTATTAGCTTCGATGCGAAGCTGAGAAGGTATTGGTTTTACTATGATGTGTTTTTTTTTTTTTTTTTTTTTTTTTTGTTCCCACTTTTTCTCACCTCTCGCCGAAC